GCTTTACTTAATTATGTCTGTTTTAAAGTTTTTATGTGTACCACTGGTCAAATTCTTGCAAAGTAAAATTACACTTACAGTACTATACCTACTGTACATATTCAATACCACTAAACTACATATCAGTGCTGAGCTCTCCCAAAATGGACATATGTGGTTTGTGTGACTAAGTATATCCGTCAAATATAACGTGCTATACAATACTGACAGAGGTTACTGATCCATGTTCTGAAAACCTTTTTCTCTAGGGCAGGAGTGAATATATTCTGCGCTTCCACTGAAAGGACGTGCTCCTTTTCCTCCGCTAGAATGCACCTCTTGTTTACCACTCAATAACCTACAGAAGGTGTCACTGGAGGGTCTTGGGTCGTATGGTTTTTCTTCCGATCTGCATGGTCACATTAAACAATTGACCTAATCATTTTCTTTGTTATGCCTATATTACACCGGATGTTTCTCAGTGTCTTTTACAGTTGATTACCAAAAGGATTTACTCTGCTAAAAATAGTTATAAAACACCCCAGAACCAGGCCTAATTAGACCACGTAAACATATGTATGCTAGAACCCAGATAGAATAGAAAGCAGAAGATGTTATGAACTGAATGTGAACCCCTAGTTATAAATCAAGGCACTTTGTAAAATATTGGTGAACTCTCTGGGAAGGTCCAGTGGCTCTGCAGTGTACAAAACACACAGCTTACTACATGTGTGTCAGGGTGATTATAGACCAGAAGACGACTTTGAAACGATAACAGCGGCTTTAATTTTTAATCGTTCTCCTGATTTTCTTGCCTACAGCTGATGTGACTCTGGACCCTGATACGGCACACCCAGACCTCACCTCTGGGGACGGAAAGAGAGTGAGACGAGGAGAGCAACAGAATCTCCCTGACAATAGAAGGAGATTTGATTTCTGGCCTTGCATCTTGAGCAAGGAGGGCTTCACCTCAGGGAGACACTACTGGGTGTTGGAGGTGAATGACTGGTGGATAATAGGAGTCACCACGCAGTCTGCCAGGAGGAAAGGGTGGTTCCTCTTCACTCCTCAGAATGTAGACGTGAGTCCGGGCGAACAAACAAAGCCAAATTCCAAACTGGGAATCCAAATGGGAGAGTAGAGTCCAAAGCCAGGAGATCCACCCAGGGGTTAAAAGCACGAGCCGGGTTGTGACCGGCGGGGCAGGGGTTCAGGAACAGAAAGTTAAAACCATAACGGAGCCAGACGCAGCAGGACCCCGGGGTCTCATGATGTGGAAATCAATGAGGAACCAGGAGTGAGGTCCATGTCTGGCTTTTAAGGGGGAGCGGGATTAGGGAACAGGTGCAGAGAATGGGGCAGAACAAGGAAGGGCTGGAACGCCCTTAAGAGGAGGGGTTAGCGATCGTTACAGGTTACTGGTGTCTGTGTTCTAACTCCTCTTGTTTTAAAGCACTCACTGACCCCCGAACTGCCCTCCCACAGCACCTGCTGCCCAGGACGGTGGGGGTATGTCTGGATATTGAGAAAAGGGAGGTTTCCTTCTACAGAGAGGAGCCTTGGGCCCCCATCTACACTTTTACTGGAATGGACTCCATTATGGGGGAGAAGATCTATCCAGTCTTCTGCACCACTGACTGGATGAAAGACCTTGTGCTGCTGCCTCCTCTCAGCTGCGAAATATCTGATTGGTTTAACCTGGCAGACAGCAGTTAGAATTGATGTGGGGAAGAGCAGAAAACACCCTTTTGGAGTTTCAGCCTTTATTGAGCTCCATAAAGACAGCTCATATCAATACAGTCTTAGGACTTCCCCGCAGAACAGGAGGACTGTTAGGGGTTTCCCAGCTCTTTTATACATTGCAGCTTCAGACCGGTTTGTTTCATCCCCAGGTTAACGTCCTATTCTATGAAGCTGATCGCTTTTCTTTAGTGAATTTGTTAGGAACAAACCAATTAGGGTTGTTTTTACTAAATCAGTTCTTATCTCACTTCCACTACTTTACGTCTTTTGGTGGCAGATACTGGCTGTACACAGTTAACATCCATCTGTCCATTTTCTAACTGATTCATAGACTTCAGGGTCATGTGGGAAACAGTGCCTATTCCAGCAGACAATGTGTTCAAGGCAGAATACACCCTGGACAGGATACCAGTTCATTGCAGAACACACAGATCCAAACATGTACACGCTGACTCCAAACCCAGAAGCCAATACCCACCAGTATGTCTTTGGACAGTGGGAAGAAACTGAAGCACCCAGAGGAAACCCACCTGAACACAGAGACAACATACAAACTACACACAGATAGCACCCAAGAATTGAACTCAGGGCCCCAGAGCTGATCCTATTCATGTGTTGAGAAGCACCTATTAGTTGAATTCTTTATTTTGTTCTGTTTCTTCTCCCAAAACGCATGTTTGTTGTCTTCCTACAAGCCAAGATAATGGTACTATATATGTAAAATTCCATTATGACTGAGAATTATGTTGTACAGGTGTCAGCAAATTCATTGTGCATTGCAGGGGAATATTAGTTTTTGATTTATTAAAAAAATGTGTCATTTGTTGCATTAGTTGCACTTGAAATCCATTTTTAGGTATGCTTTTGTAATTCTCAGAATATTTGAGCATTTGTTTTTTGCTTGGCGATTGTGTTACAATGTGTTAATAAAGGTAAAATAGATTCAGATTTAATGTGTCTTGATTTCAGGCCACAAAAGTGTTTTACTTTGGAATGAGTGTGTAGGCTTTCTATGGGCTCTGTATACAGTATACTGTATATATTTCTCATATAATTAGTCCTCCCATAGCAGAGAAAACACTCACAAGATGTCTATTGTAACGTGACAGATGGATCTAGGTAATTAACCACACACTAGTGTGTTGCACTCTGAACCACCCCAGTAGAATACCCAGCTCACAACTGTAGACTGACAACCAATGGCATAAGATCCATTCCAATAAGCACATGATACTAAAACTAAAATACTCAAAACACTAAAAAGTACATGAACTACAGTACTGCACATGTTCATGAAAGAACGGGTATAATGCCACATATTAACTTTAAACCTGATCTTCAGCTACTGCAACTTGTAAGAATGTGTTAAGTCATGTTGAAGTTACTGAACAGAGAAGACTATGAGAGTACCTCATACAAGTTGTGACATACCAACCTCTCGTCAAAGCTCATGAGGCCTGGACACAGCACAAAACTACTGTTTTAGCTTACTAATAGTCTTCAGTGTCTACAAACAAAAGAAACACCTACAGTACTCTACTGTATATCAAACCTAAACACCTAGACTAAATGAAACCCATGGGAGAATGTGACTCTCACCCTTCACCAATTACCTAATTAATTTATTCACCACCACTCCAGAGGTGTGAATCTATTTATATGTCGTTGAGGCTTGAACGTGCTCTAGCAGCAGGTCAGCTGAAACTAATATGTTGCCACCTTCCCCCTCCTTTACTTACACTCCCAGGGAGAGTAATAACCTGACTGGTAGATGGCAGGTCGAACAGAAAACATCCCCTGATCCCTTGGTCCCCCCCGCCCCTCCCCCACAGGGTCAAATGTCTTCACAGATGTTTTATCTGTGTCATGCCTTCCCTCATGAGAAGAAGCTGCCTTGGGAGTACCAGCACAGTTGTCCAGGCCACAGTTTCCACTGCAGTCTCTAATACCTGGAAGAATTGCAGTCACCCCGGCTGCTTGGGAACAAGGGCAAGCAGTGTTGTTGTCACACCAACGACGTGTGCCCCTCGCCCTCTGGACACGGCAGCAAGAGCAGTGGCATCACCCACAATTTTAATTCAGCAGTTAATATCCTCCAGTACAATTTAATGAATATGTTTGGCCTTATCGATGACACTGATTCCAGGCAAAGTTCATCTCAAATCCCGGGTCCGTGTGTTAGTACCTGTCACTCACCTCCCTATGATATGCTAATATTATCAAAAGTTTATCCTTCCTCGACCCAAGACATGCTGCCTATTTATCGAAAGGAAAAAAATGTTATTCCTTAGCCTGAAACACATGGCTTGTATAAATATCAGACATAAAATACCAGTATTTCATATCTCATATGGTTTCTCATATATTATGGATTGCAATGCAGGAGAACAGACAATCAAATACAATGTTCAAGTTATAGAGTCTAATGTAATTTGCGATTTTTATAGTTCTCTTATCCTCCATATCTATCATGTGCTCTTAAAGGGAAGTTTGTATTTCATTTAAAGAAAATAGCCTTCCCTTTCAGGATTGATGCCAGTGGGTCCCGAAAGGGGGTAAAAACCCAGGCGTGTGGAAAGGGCTTTAAATTTTTATTTTCAGAACAGACGAGCAACAGAGCACAGCAGCTCTGGAAAGAGAGTAGCTCCACTGAGTCACTTTACAGAAATGAAAGTGACCTGCAAAGCTGCACCCTGTCACTAGTAAGAGCTGCTGAACTCTTTCATCTTGATTAAGATTTTAAAACACTGCTGTACTGAGATGCCCTGGCACTGTGTGAGGGAGTAATGAGCCCTGGTTTGTCTGATTGTCAATGGAGTTAAAGGACAGTTTGAATACGGAGCTCAGGGAGCTAAATGTTTTACCTGGAGCTTATGCCCTCTTCCTCAGCTTCAGCACTGTATTCAGGCGTTCTCTGGGCAAAACTGTGATGTGTTTTTCATTTGAGACATGAACGTAAGATGTAGGAGCTGATCAGTACAGGTTTTCAAATATGTTTCCTTAGGCATCACAACATTTTCTTCTCAAGATATACTAATTACACGACTGGCACATCGCTTCATTAATTCTGTTTGGTTGATTTTCAAACAACTCTTCAAATGTAATTGGTTGAATGGTTCTCCTGAAACTGGACTGTGATTGGCTGGACTGTGGCATACCCTTCCCATATGGTTTTGAATCATTTCTGTTGACTGGTGGACCGCAGATTGAGTGTGACTTTGTAGGTGTAGGACCGTGGTATTTATTTTAGCTTGTTAGTGAATACTTTCTCTAGAAAAGAGACTTTTAATACAAACTGCTTTGCAGATTACAGTGGGAATTAACTAGATGCTGAAATTTTGACTTTGTGCTCTTTAATGTGACAGCCGTCGAAATCTGTGAGTACCTCACCTATAAATCTATAAATTAAGAATTTTCCATTAGATTATTTTTATTTTCAACAACTTATTTTCAGATTTTACAAGAAAAGTTACCTGATTTTTGTGTCACTAGCTAGTATTCTAGTCTGTAGAACTACATTATTGTGAGAGGTTATTGATTAAACTTTCATTGCAAGATTCACATTTAGGCCCCACTGATATAATGTATGAAAACTGCAGAATTGTTACAATCCCACAAATATAACGAATATGGGAAACACTTTCTACCATATTTGGGCTCTGTGCTGCTGGGAAACTTTCTAGCATTTTGATAATGGATGGATGGTGAAATCGTAATTTTAAAATTAAAATACCTAAATGTTTAATTGCAGTGTAACTACAATTTGACTCAATAGATCTGTGTGACTTAAATGGAGGTTTTATTCCAGAGGTGTTGGTTTTAAAGAGTGAAACTAATGAAGAATAAAGCTGACTGTCCTGACAGGGATTTTGTACCCCTGGATGGCTTGTGATGGATATTGAGCGTGAATCAATTTTTTTTTCCCAGGGATTAAAATGAAAAGAAAAAGGGCTACCACAGCATGCCATACTAAGAAAACCAAATGTTCATCAGATGATTCGGGTAAGTGCTTATAAAAATATGTGATCAGAGCAATTTCAGCCCTAGTGCGTCTGAGAAAAAAGCCATTATATTTATGACAAAAACTAGAAAAAAGCATGCAAGTATTATTAAACATAATACAAAAAATAGGGTTCAGAATTAACCAAGAATTTATCCTAAATTCAACCAATCCCACAACTGATTTCTTATCGTTTTTAGAACCTGTGCACCGATTGAACTGATTTTATACATTTCAACACCCTCAAAGTTTCTTCATCTTTGCTCTTCAAAAGGTGCAGCAGTACTATTTTGTTATTGATACAGAGCTCTTACCACTAACTCCTGTTTCACCAGTGAACTTCAATCTTAATAGCTGTGCTTTCCAGTTGTAGAAAGGGTTGTAATTGCAGCAACCTGGCATAAGAAGCCAGTATTCACCTTCTGATTTTTGTATATAGCTACACTTGAGTCCAAAGGTTTAGCATTCAGCTTTTGTACACAGGTGCAATTGAACTTTTGTTTGCTATTTGTAACAGATCCCCCTGAGTTGGTACCATAGCAGGGGTATCTGCACATAAACTGTGCCTATATTATCGGCGTTTAAGCAGTGTCCTGAACAACCATAATGTTACTCTTCCTTCCCTCCTTATGCTCCAAATACAAATTCACTGAACTCCCTCTTTGCCTCAAACACATAGCATTGGAAAATCCCATTTAGTCCTGTCTGCTCAATAAACTTATTTCCTGTTTGCGGGCTGGCATGACAACGATTGAGTCTGCTACTCAAACTAAAACTACAATATCTATTTGTTGACAAATCCAGATGATTTGTAGACAATGAGTAGGCAACCCTCATCAATTTCCCTTCAGGATCAATAAAGTCTTATCTATCTCTTTCTACTCTCCAAGTCTTATATAGGAATTGGTGTCCTCAGGTGCAGCCCATTCCTCAGTTTTCTCTTGAAAATGCTGCATTTGGAATGTCTCATCGCTGCCCTCTGGTGGCTCACCTTATTTTCACATACCAAATTTGGCTAACATTTTACAGTAATTAAAAGGTGGGCAAGGGGTATGAGGGTGTGTTTATAAACTAGGTTTGTTGGTTTTTGTCCTGAAAAGGGAAGAAACTAAGGCCCTCAAGACTTTTCAATTTCCACTTTTCTAAATATCAAAACTCTGAAAATTAATTTTCACTTGGCTTCTTCATATTTTTCTGTATCGCCAGAGAACTTGCTGTATTGCATAACTCTTTGGAAGTGGCGGAAGTTCCCGTTATAAAGAAAGCATGTTTATTATCATGTCAAGGGAGATAATATTTCACTACAATTTCTCTTTTCGACACCTCTCTAAAATACCCAAATTTAAGGCACCAAGATGCTGAGACATTGCACGAAGCCCTGTGTCCCATCAGAGCTGTGCTTCTTGTGTTATGTTGATCTTCTCTAATTGTTCTGTACCAACTTTTTGTTTTCAGACATTTCTTCCATTAGCAGTCTCCTTTCTGAAGACCAGTTCCTGTGCTCTATATGTCTGGATATATTTACCAACCCAGTCTCCACTCCCTGTGGACACAGCTTCTGCATGACCTGTATTGGAGTGTGTTGGGACAGAAGTGATGTGTGCAGGTGTCCACTGTGTAAGAAGAATTTTCCGCTTAGGCCTGACCTCAGTGTGAACAGAAGCCTGGCAGAAATCACAGAGCAGTTCAAGAAGACCAGAGTCAGCGCTCTGAAGGAGGGCACTGCTAAACCTGGAGAAGTCTCCTGTGATATTTGCACTGGGAGAAGACTGAAAGCTGTGAAATCCTGCCTGCTGTGTCTGGCCTCTTACTGTGAAATTCATATGGAGCCTCATCTGAGAGTTGCAACACTCAAGAAGCACAAACTGGTGGATCCTGTGCAGAACCTTGAGGACAGGCTGTGTAAGAAACATGAGAGGCTCCTGGAGCTGTTCTGCAGGACCGACCAGACCTGTATTTGCCTGCAGTGCGCTGAGACAGACCACAGGACACATGACACTATCTGTGCAGAGAGTGAATGGACCGAGAAAAAGGTAAACTGCATTATTGTTTTTTAATTTTTTAATTTAGAATGAACCCTGTTTAACAGCATTGCATTTACTACAAAAACACAATCATTGTCATGTTTTAGCCATCCAAGTCGGCTGTTAGAGAGGCCCATTTTTACTAAACTAAACCTGCCAATTTAAGATAACCGCACATTGTTCTGATACCCAATGCTATATCTGTAAAACGGAAGACAAGCTGTTGCACTCTTGGAGTATCAGATGTTGCAGTAGCTCAGAGGTGTTGAATAAGTCAAAAGTTTAAATGAAAGCATCTACAGAAGCATTTAAGATAAAAGTGTTGATTTTTAGGTAATAATAAGTACAAATAAAAGGTCTCTTTTCTATACACATTTAGAAAAATGTCTGTCAGTAATGGTTGCTAACTGGAATAGGGTTCTAATGTTGCAGATGAGGGAATTTAATCAGAAAATGTTTTAATACAAATTCTGCCTGCAAAACTCCTAATACATGATTGATCCCTCAGACTGTATCATGTAAAGATACTTTCTAGTTTCTTGTGTATGCTCTGTTCAGGGGCTGTGGGGAATTATTTGCACATGTCTGGTTAGTGTCCAGAAGTTGCTAAAATCAGTTCAATAAACCAGTCTCTTCCTGTTTGTTCACATGTAGTACTCTTGCTTGATGATGATGGTAATCTTATAGTGGAAGAGATCAGACTGGCTGGTATGCTATGTTAAAAACTGAATTTCTTCTCTTGGCCCATCTTGATTTTATTTATACAGAGCTACTGCTCTGCTCCTATGATGTCATTGAAGGGACAGTAGAGGTCTTGTAAATTGTTGAGTGATTCCAAAGCACCCCCAGATCAGTTAGGAGATATAACTGGTGTGTCATGGTGTAGCCCTTTGATCTTCACCTACTGTAGTAGAATGTACTTATTCATAAGCAGTCTCCAAAAACCTTTCCCAATACTGAGACTCTACATCCACCTTCCAGACAGCATTGAAAAGGTAGCACAAACACAATAGCTCATGTGTGGTGAGAGGACTGGTACGCTTTGGCTGCCATTGCATTATCCAGGTAGCGGCTACACATTGGTGATGGAGGGGCCATTACCTCTAAAGCACTCTGAGTGAGTGGAGTGCCCAGAAAAGCGTTGTATACATGTATTATTGTTATTTTTGTTCCAGGAGCCACATCCTAAGCATGAAGTCATGTTTTCAGTTCAAACCTATACAGGGGCCTGGGAGTGGATCCCTGTTTCTCAGAAACCTCACCTCAGACTTGTTTGTCTACCAGGAGTATTAGATTCTAGTCAATATTGCTCCGGTGATCACTGGAAGACACAAGACCCTCCACCATACCAGGGATCCTCAGAGAGGAGAATATAAATATATTGTATATCTCCCTCATAATACAATATTTCGTTGCTCATGAGTGTACAGGGGTTTGTGATGTTTGTCTATTGTATGTATTACAAAACAATGAAAACTGATGTCATTTTTTCAGTTTCTGACTAAATATTGAGCTATTATCCCATAACCTGAAGAAGGCTCTAATGCCAGCTGTGTGTTGCCCAGCCCAATGTCAGTGTGCCAGCAGCAGTGACTCTCTTTGTCCACAGACTCAGCTAAAGAAGATAGAAACAGAAGCACAACAGATGATTCAGGATAGACTGAAGAAGGTAAAGGAGATCAAGCAAGCCACAAAGCTCAGCAAAGTGAGTCCTTACAAGAGTCCCATCAGTCTAACTAAGACAGAAACCCAGAACTCCAGTCCTGTACAGCTGTGGTCCAGGGTTTCAACAGCAGTTCTAGAATGCCGACTAAGCACCTGCCTTGAGATTGTCAGGAGGGTTCAAACAAGCAAGAAATGAAACTGGTGGCAGAAGGAATCTCTTTATAAAGAGTCATTCTGTTACAGTTAGGCAGCTTGTTTTTGGTCATCATTTCAATTCTCTCAGGTTGAGAGAGATTTCAGGGCTCTTTTGGAATACTCAAAGCCTTGAAGCTCTCAGGCTTGATATTCTATAATTGTTTATGTTTCACTATAATTTCTCATGATTTCAATGTACTTTACCAGTGTCTTCTGCATTTGCTGTCTTGATCTTTGGTGTGGATAAATAGGAGCTTTTGGGAATTTCCAAATGGAAAACTGAGCTGTGCTGTTCTCTTGTACTACCCTGTTAGTTGAGTGTTGTCTGTTTTCCCCTCAGAGCTGTGCACAGAGAGAGATCAAGGACAGTGTGCAGGTCTTCACTGATCTCCTGTGCTACATTGAGGATAGCCAGACTGAGTTCATTAAACTGATCGATGAGAAGCAGAGAGCAACAGAGAGGAGGGCTGAAGGGATTATTAAAGAGCTGGAGCAGGAAATCATTGAGTTAAAGAAGAGAAACACTGAGATGGACCAACTCTCCCACACTGAGGACCACCTCCTCTTTCTACAGGTCAGTACAGCTGTAAAGAGCAGACGCAATACCTAAAAAGAGGTACTGTATTAATCCACATTGTTACCATATTCAACAATGTATTATTCAGTTCAACAATCTTCTACAAAATTCATGTTTAATAAACACAGAAGATCTTAGTGTATTATTCCTTATCATCAGTCACACTACAGGTGCACTTTTTTCTCTTCTTTCCTGCTATAGAGTTTCCAGTCTCTGTGTTCGACTCAGCAAACCAAGGACTGGTCAGGCATCACCATTCTTTCTGACCTCTACCTGGGGGATTTGAAGAAGGCTGTGTGTCAGCTGAAAGACATAGTCAGAATAGAGGTGAAAAGACTATCAGAAATTGGTGTGTATTGGATTCTCTTCTTGGAAAATGTCTATTTCTTTGAGTGAGAGAAGAACTTCAGCTCATTGTGTAGTGATAGAGAGAAGCAACAGAGTTTTGCCTGAAGTCTTTGTTGTTTTACAACATTAACTGTTCAGAGGCGGTTGCATGAAACTGGACCTTGGAGGTTCAGTTTCTGTGTTTTTTGGACCAGGCAAATCTCTTCCTCTTCTTCTGCACTCTTAACAATGGTTTCTTTGCAGCAATTCTTCCTGGTAGGCCAGCTTCACGCAACCTCCTCTGAACAGTTGATGTTGAAACATCTGTACTTCTAGTTGCATTGAGCTCAGCCTGTATTTCAGGGGCAGTTAGTCGCCAGTTTCACAGACCTGTGACTCTAATGAACGTATTTGGTCACCTTTGGCCTGCCTGATCTTTTTGGTCATCATGAGTGCTAGTTTCTTCATATCATTTAATAGACTTGTACACAGCAGTTACTGATACTTGCAATTTGTCTTAAAGATTGTCTTAAAGTAATTGTGGACCCTCACCTGTTTACCAATAATTGGTGACAAAAGGTAAATGAGGTAACATACTAGTTAACTGTGAGAACATCTAACGAAGACAATTTTAAACTTCTTTTAGTGTTCTAACACCAAGTTATACACATTTCTGACTTTTGACTAACCTAGTCTTCAGACTGAAATCCATTTGCTTTGGGTGTTCATTTTATTGAAAATGAAAAATTAACTTTTTTATGCAGTTCACTTGATTATAAGTACACATATCATGTAATTAAAAGTTAAGTGTTTATAGACAAGATTTTACCGTTTAAAGCACAGATAATCATGAAAAACCTGGGTTCAAGGAGGTGTACTCAAACCTTTGACTGGTACTGTATGTGTAAGGAATTATTATTATTATTATTATTATTATTATTATTATTATTATTAAAACATAAACTACATTTAGTGATGACTGAAAAGCCAGATGTGTTTCTCTTTCGTTACTGACTTTGTAATTTGTATTTGTAACTCTAAAACCACTGAATTTAATCACATGTATGTTTGACCATTTCTGTTACTAATCCTTTATTTTTTCTTCTGTTTCCAGAGTTTCAAAGAATACGCAGTCAGGCAGGTGAGATTGTTTTTCTTTAAGAGTTTGTGATGTTTTCGAAAAATCAAAGCACTGCTCCTATTTAAACCATTCACCTAGATGCTTATTCTATAAGAACAAAACACTAAAACATCTGCATTTTTAATAATAGCAACCACACTTCCTTGTGGCCGAAGAAATCTGTTCTCAATATATTACCTTAAGTACCCTACTTCATTAAATGTTAAAATACACTTTTTGAACTATTAATTGGCAATCTGGCTGTTTGAATGCACATCAACAACTTAGCAAGATGCTCATGTTTGTTGTTCCCCTGTAGTGCGACAGAGCTCCACATTGTGCAAATTCCTAACACCCCAGCAAAAGCTCTTCCATTTGTGCTGAAATGTGGCAGAAGATCCTTCCAGTTTAAAACCCTTGACTGTGGACTAGAATAAGTAACTAAGTCTGTCAGCTCCTGGGAACTTGCAGTTTGTTTCTTCATGTTTAACATACTATTACAGTACATGTTTATCTGGATCCGTATTTACAAAGATTCCTTTGAAACCAGAGACTGCACGTTCCAGTGATCTGAAGTTAAAACAATGTGTGAAAATATCTGAATATCAACTAAAGAATGCCATAATTAACTTAAAGATAAATAATGATTTCATCAGGCCTCTGAATTGACAAGAAATTATTGAATACATATATCTTATGTCTGTTGCTCTGTGATGGCTGACAAAACTTTCGAAGATCAACATACTGTCACATAATAATCAAAAACATTTTCATTTTATGTTACTCATCATATAGTTTTATTTGAATGAGTTGTAGATTTTTTGATTATGATGTACTGTATTCTCTCTGCTCCACAGTTGATGTAAGCCTGGACCCCAGTACAGTAAATCCCTGGCTCATCCTATCTGCAGACAGAAAACAAGTGAAACATGCAGACAAGCAACAGGTTCTGCCTGACAATCCAGAAAGATTTCAATCATTATGTGTCCTGGGAAAAGAGGGTTTCACCTCTGGGAGACACTACTGGGAGGTGGAGGTGGGGGAGAAGGGAGAGTGTTTTTTAGGAGTTGCAAGACAGTCAGTCAACAGAAAGAACTTTATGAAAGAGCTGACCCCTAAAGATGGTTTCTGGACCGTGTCACCGAGGCATGGAAAGAAGTTAATTGCTTGTGCCGCCCCCCCTGTCATCCTGACTCTAAACCTGCAGCCCAGGAAGGTGGGGGTGTATGTGGATTATGAGGGAGGACAGGTCTCCTTCTACAATGTGGAGGCCAGGTCTCATATCTACACTTTCACCGACACCTTCACTGAGAAACTCTACCCATACTTCTGCCTCTCTTTCAATAAGGATGATATAAACTCACCCACACTGATTATCTCCTCTGTCAACTGTGCAGATTAAATGAGTCAGAACTTCTATGCAACAGGAATGATAACCGGTGTGTTGATCAACTACCGATGTAGAATTGACTGTTTGAATTTGTTTGCTCAACACATCCGCTCAACCTCATTAACTAAAAGAATGATTGTCTCTTCATCATTTTTATTATAATAATTGTCATTGTCGAGTGCTTGCAGATCAGGGTAAGACACAAAGTCATCTTACATACTGGAACTGAAAGTTCGCCTGTAGCAAATGCAAAGTTCTGTTGTAATCAGGGTCTTTGACAAGAGTCTCCAATCTTGATCTAGGTTTTCTAGGTCTCTTTAAAGCACCAGCACCTGAAATGCTGGCTAATTAACAAGTTTATCAAGGTTATAACAAGTGCTTATAAACAGAAAACCCGTAAACATGCCAGCCCACCAGGATCAAGACTGAGGACCCCAGGTACAGACACACTGCTCCTCCAGGAACAAGATTGGAGACCCCTGGCATAGGTGGATGCTGCACATTGGTGGTGATGGAGAGGAGTCCCCATTACCTGTAAAGCACTTTGAGTGGAGTGTCCAGAAAAGCGCTATATAAGTGTAAGCAATTATTATTATTATTATTATTATTATTATTATTATTATTATTATTATTATTATTATTATTAATATTATAGGAACAGAAAATAATGAGAACAAAGGAAGAACAACACCCTGTGGAATTGTTCTTCCTGTGCCTCCTGCTCTCTGTTCATGAAGTGGAAGTCATTCCTTCCTTGCTGGAACCAGATCAACACAGCACAATGTCTGCAGCACCTCTTCACGTGCTTATGCATGTGAGTCCTGCCGTGAGGCAACGAGAAAGCTCCTCTCCTACTCTGTGGTTGCATCAAGTCTGGAAGAAACACATCTCTCTTTTTGTCTGCATTCCTTCGTCTCACCATCCTGCTACAGTGTTGACCGAAGCACATTGTGTTTCTGCTGCTTTGAATTTTATGTGTGTGTCTATAATACTCACACTGGTTAATGAGTGATTTAAAACTATTAATAACTCTTGGTTTGACAGTAACATTTTGTTTACAATTAAAACTGAGTTTTTTGTATTACTATCTTTGTAGTGCCCTCTTCTGTTCGCTCGACTGCTATTGCCACACAGGATGTGACTATATTAGCAGATTCACAGTTCAAACCTCATTTTTAGGGTTTTATTGGATTACGTTTATCCAGTAAGAACGCGTTTCCAGCGTCTGTGAGATTTAATGTGTGAGACAGTTTGTCCTGTGACAGTAAGATATAAGGTGTCCAGTGTGACAGTGTGTCCAGTGTCATTTACCATTTTTTCTGATAGTTTAACTATTTCTGTACAACACTAAGGATGTAACATTAGTCCAGGACTTCAAAGCCCTTATAAACAACACACAATTGCCTATACCTGTTAAACCAGAGTTAATACTGTAATCAGTTGGTTATTAATTAGAATTTCAAATTAAAGTTTTGTGTTTCTTGTAAAATGCCCCCCCCCGTGTGATTACGCAGCAATCTGAGAAATGGCATGTGTGTTTCCTGGGGTACGTTGAGAATGAGATATGAGATGATGAGGTGTGAAACCACACTTTGAGCTCTTTCAGAGAATTGAAAAAACCCACCTAGATCATGACAAAACATGATAAAAATATGAGAATATAATCTCACAGATCTATCTACACCTAACACCACAATTCCTCTAAGATAGGTATTGATCAGAGACCTCTAGAGACACTGGGAGGGAAAAGATGCTACTTCTGCACCTGTTTTTTGGGCTCCTTGTCCTGAGCACTTCTGTAGGTAAGTAAACAATTAAAAATGATTTGTATGAAATATATTCAAAAGTTTGGTGAGGTGGCACAGATAAAGTGATTTAGAGAATGGATGGATAAACTTATAAGTCATTCTAAAGAAGAATAAGAATAAGAAGAAAATCATGGTTTTGCATATACAGTAGTATTTCTTTGGCAATGTCCATTCTACCTGTGAAGATTAATTTTTACAGTGTCTTCAGTTTTGCAAGCTTTGCTTCAGTTCAAGCTTTTATTATCAAGCTTTTTCCTGGGGGGAAAGCTGTTTTATGCCTAGCTGTGTTGGCTAGAGCCCAAAACTACAAAAAAGAAAACAATAACAGACAAACACCACTACTAACAAAGACTACAGCAATATAGTTTTTAAGGAGATAAGAGAGTTATTCTACATTGTGAGATTGCAGAAAGGATGAAAGATTTCCTGAGTCTATTACACCAGAGATGTCTACCAGATAGGTATAGTGTACATTCGTAACACAGGGGGTGAGCCACAGGCTCCATAACGAGCTTCTTTCAAAACCTCTGTTGGATAATTCCTGTACTCATTCTTCCCACAAAGAAGATACAGGGATTCAGATTTGGAGAATATTTTCAGACAAGATCTACCCTGCTTGTGAAAATTCAAATGAATGGTGTTACGAGCACAGCCCGCACCAATTAACTCCAAATGATTCAATCTTCATTCCACACCTTTTCCCAGCAACTATTTAAACCCTCTGCTCACTGCTATCAGCACTCAGTATTAGGATTTCATCCACCTCCTGAGCTCACCTTGCCCTTCTTTCCTGAAACCCCCTCTACCCTCTACCCCTTCTGGATCCCCTCACCTACGACTCTTTGACTTTGGAGTTCTCTCTACCTCTCTCTCATCTTGCCCCTCTCGGATTTGTTTGCCTGACTTTGTTCTGACTACCTGGATTCGACCTCGCTTGGATTTATCGACCACTCTTCTTGGCTTGTAACGGCCAAAACGTTGTGCTTTCTTTCTTCTCTTTTCAGCACGGAATACACCTTTTACTTGTTCCTTTGCAGCCTCCGCATGCTGACGCAGCTTCCCACCTGAACGGCTTTACTTAATTATGTCTGTTTTTACGTGTACCACTGGTCAAATTCTTGCAAAGTAAAATTACACTTACTATACCTACAGTACTGTATATATTCAATACCACTAAACTACATATCAGTGCTGAGCTCTCCCAAAATGGACATACGTGATGAGAAATAGTTGAGAATACTCAGAGAATGTTTTTTCCAATTATAGTTTAGTTGTGAATACCTTCAATTTTGTCACTGTGTAGTCACTAGCTTTTTAGCACATAGAAGTCCCAGGTCTAAGACATTCAACTTTTGTCAAGATCCACCCTTCATTCTGAGTCTTCGAATTCTGGTATTTTAACACCCTCCATGAACCTATGTGGCATAATGTTCACCAAAGGCACTTCTGTATACTCTACATGCCTCAGTTCCCTCCAGTCAAATTTCGTAACAACTGACATGACATTGTCTGGCTTCAAAGATGTTTTTCACTGTGTTTGCTGACAAAATGGGGCGATTTGGATTCAGAAGTGATCACCACCGATGGTGTCTTCAATTTGTCTGTCAGCCAAATTCAGACACAGAACGTCTGGCCATGCATTTCCTCTTACTGAGCTCATACGGAGCACTTCTCTGAGCACTATTCCAGCAACACAACAATCAATGGGGGAAAAGTAACTTGTCTTTTGGTTGAAACCCAGCTCATGTTCGCTATAAGTGGTTTGTGCTGCTTTTTTGCTTTATTTGCACTATTGTTTCGAATCTATTCTTTCTCCCCAATTATTAGTAGGGCTCCACCTGTTGTAAAGCCTGCAAGAGAAAGCCACAGCAGGCCAGTGTTTCACTCAGCTTCAGAAAGGTTTAACTCTCTTAGTTCCACCACACACAGTGTGAAAACAATCAATGCTCACCTCTGAAAAACATCACTAACTGCGCACGATTGCCCAAATCACCACTCTAATCAGCTGCTATTGGGTATTGAAAGAAGAGCTGTCTGTTATCGCAGAGTCGTTCAGCAATTTTTCTGGAAAGCTGAACAACACACTTTTCCACTACATTTTTAGGTTACTATTGCTAAAGATGTCTGAAGTATTATAAGAAAGTAATAAAGTCACCATCGGGGAAAGACTTCTGAGTCTTTGCCATTACTTCACTTCACCACTATTGCCAGCTAGTCATTTCTTCCTTTCCGAAACAACTGATTTTATCAACTGCAAAACTGTCACCTTTTTCTCCCCTTGATTTATTGTGAAACCATTACAGCAAGAAGCTCCAGTCCAGATGTGTGTCATGGGTGCGACATCTGCACACATCTTGAACACTAAAGCTTTGTCAATGTACCGCCCACTCCATTAAAACTGTTCCCTATTTACTGTAGATAAATGTACAGTATTCTCTTATAATTTATTAAATTACCAATTAATCGCTTACTTATACTGTAGCTCTATTTCACTCAATTATTTCTGAAACCAGATGCCCTCAGAATGACTAAAAGGTGGAAGAGCTACTGTACATCTGCAGTACTGAACAGTACTCCTAGAAACATAAGCACCTCAGTGAAGATGTTAAACGTTAGTAAGTAGTCAGTAAATGAGTTTGATGAAGGAGGCACACTGGCAATTGTCCGGGTAGTGTTTAAGAGTGTACAGGTTCTCTTGAGTGTTAGCTACTGGCTAGTCCAGACCCCATAGTGTTTGAATGGGTGGTTTTGTGTTCCAGACTGACCAGCCCAAAGCAGACTATAGCTGAGTGAAAGAGGGAACATTACAGCTCACTGGCACATAAGTATCAGTAGTTATGGGACACAGACACTCACACAAACCAAGGGAGAACTAATTAGAAAGATGAGATTAAATGAAAGATCAAATTAGATGCATGCCATTATTTTTAAATGTGTGGATTGATATGTGGTTTTATTCGTGTTTTTAATTCAGAGCATCATGATCTAAAAAGTCCTCAGGATTCAAGGAAAGTCCCATTTCTCTAGCATTGATTTGGCTGGTTTTAGCCATGCAGATCTAATTTCCCTGTTATGTTACAATCAGGCCACCCCATCCATGGTCATTTTTGAGGAAGACCTGTTTTTCTACTGTTATGCTCTCCACACTTATCATCAAGCATATTGGCATATTCATATCACAAATGGCAGTTCAATTCAAGCTTTACTGTCCCCTAGGGGAAATTCTTTTCACGGCACTTTCAAACACAGCACAATAACAATACACATTATCAAAAGGGAAGAGAATCCAGCAGTGTTACAGGAGAAAGAAACAAGAGACAAGAGACTTTGCATTGTTTAAGAGTGAACAAGGGTGGCAGGGTGGCATGGCAGGTTAGTGTTGCTGCCTTGCAACACTGGGGTCCTTGGTTTAATTCTGAGCCTGGGATGCTATCTGCACTATCTGCATGGAGTTTGAATGCTATTCTCCTGAGTTTCCTCCAAGTGCTCTGGTGTCCTCCCTCATTCGAAAGACATATTGGTAGGTTAGTTGGCTTGTGGATATATTGGCCGTGGTGTGAGTTTGAGCGTGTTTGTCTCAGTGTTTCTGCCCTGCGACGGGTCCCTGGTGGTTTCCTGCTCTTGCGCCCAGTGCTTGCAGGGACAAGCTCCGGCTCCGGAGCAAACTGAATTGGCTAAAGCAGTTAGAAAATGGATGGACGGATCCCAGAGTTCAGAAATACCTGAACTGAGACATATTTGACAAAAAGAAGCACGTGTTTATATCCAGGAGCCCAGCTGTCAAAAATCAGGAAGGTACTGATCTCTGAATTTCTTCTCTCTCAATATGACTCCCCTCTCTTGCTGCAGTGTCCAGCTCTCCTCTGTCCAAGAGCTCGATAGTAGGAGGTCACGACGCAAAAAAGGGAAAGTGGCCCTGGATGGCCCATCTTAGGCTCATTCCTGTCAGTGGGAAACCTGGAAGTTACTGTGGAGGCTCCCTGATCAGCGAGCGCTGGGTGCTCACTGCAGCGCATTGCTTTAACAAGTGAGTGTCACAGTGTGCAAGTCTGTGTCAGAGGACATTACCACAAGCCACAGCAGCTAATCTGCTTCTGTGAGATAATCTTTTTCTTGCTGCTGCTTGTTACAGGAAGAGAAGACATACACCGTTTCAGTGTTTCGGAGACTCGGAGTCTGTTACAGAAAATAGACTTCCTGTGGCTTGACATGTCTTGACAGTCTCGCTCTTTGGTTAAGACTGGGTGCATGGTGAAATTAAATTCAAAATACTTCAAATAATTCAATTCATAAGATTCATCGTAGGGGGACAATTCAAGAAGCACTCTTTATCTGGTTCCCTCGCACCCCTGACAAAAGAAGCACTCTTTTATATCTTGGAGCCAAGCTGTCAAAGATCAGGAGGGTAATGACTGACAGCTGGCTCCCCTTAGGTGAATATATAGACTGACTGTTTATCACACTGCAGTATATATTATACTATATTTTTTAAAGATTATTTTTTTAGTGCTTTTAGAGTGACACAGCGAATGGTGTGATGTTAGCTCTGCTGTCACACAGCTCCTAGTTCCTGAGTTTTCAGATTTGCTGTGGGGAGTTTGCAAGTTCGTCTTATTATCACGGGGTAATTTGCCAGGTGCTGTGCCAGGCCCTCTTGCCTTACAACGTCATGCCAATTAGGTTAATCTCTACACTGCCCCTGTATCTCTTGCCTGCAATGGACCGACATCCTGTCCAGTTTAGCTTTGAACCCAGTGCTCCTACATGCTTAGACCCTCACCTGGATAAGAGACTTTCAAGTAAATGATAGCTTCTGGAAAATGAACTGGTATCCTGTCTTGTGCCCGTTGCTTGCCGGGACAGGCTCCGGCTCCAGATTTGGTTCCCTCACCTGTATCGTGTATGGAATAAACTGGTTAGAAAACGTATGAACAGATAAGATGAATAATCATATTTTGCTCTTCAGAGAGGTTGCACTAAAGAAATCTATGGTGGTCCTGGGAAAGTCCAAACTGAAGAAATCGGTCATCCCCAGTTTTCGCAAAACGGAATACCCCATGAGGCGCATCACCGTACACGAGAAATACTCCAGAACACAAAGAGAGTTTGATATCGCCCTGGTGGAGCTGGACAAGGCAGTGTCTTACAGCAAATACATCCAGCCAGTCAGCCTGGCCCAGAGCTCTGACGAATTCCCTCCGGGCAGCAAATGCTGGGCTACTGGGTGGGGGAACATCGGAGACAAAGGTAGGACACAATCTGCTGCTGAGCTGTTTCATTTGCTACTCTTTCCAGTACCTAAATGAAGGGATTTGTTTTGAAAAACAGTTGTAAAAAGATTTTTTTTCTAGTATACAAAGTCATGTTTGAGAGATTTCTCTGTAATCTTTCCAACGAGTCCCTTCAAAATCCAGGCTCGGAGGCTCCCCTGATCACCTGAGGTTATGTTTTGAGTTCAAATCTCTGTTTATTTAATGCAACTGAGCACGTGGAAGCTTATTAGATTGCATTATCTACAAAGACATCAATGTAATCAAAACTTCACACAAAGTACTGTACAACATCAGCAGCATCCCAGTTTCTCCTACATTAAACTCTCTAACCTATGTCAATAAAAAGGATTTTGTTTTGATATTTTCAGTTTGTAGATGCCGTATCTGTCGATCATTTCCCTGAGGCAAGAAAATATATGTAAATCATAGAAAAAGAAAAAGCTTTTATGAAGCCTTAGAAACCAGAACCTTAGTACAAATTAAAATGTTCTTAAGGTGAAAATTCACTGTTTTTGCATTTTACATTTGTAGACTTCTAGAATTCAGATAAAAAAAAACAAATTTATGACAAATCAAGACTAATTCGATTTAGATATTCTATTTTCTGTATGACTACACACAGGCATAGCGAAAAAGAAGAAACAGAACGTGTCTACATGTGAAATCTTACCTCAAACTCCCAACACCCTTTATCAAACGAATGCAAAGCCCAGTTTTGACAAATGGAAAATGTTCAGATCTCTGGTCACAGTAAGAGCAAACTTTACAAGACCATTGGTTTATCTGTTCTGCAAATAGACAGATGCTACTGCATGTCTAATATCATTGGTTGCCTGCTTTTGGAATTCACCAATTGTCATTTTTTGAGGAATATAAACATCCACAAATCGGACACTTGGTGAATGTTTATCAAGTGTTTATTAAATCTAATACGTTTTGGCTTAAACACTAGTTAAAGTAAACCCCCCTGGTCATGGGACGAGGAGGCTGGATCCCCCAGTCAGAGAGCGGAGTTAACCAAGGGGCAGCTACACAGGTGGAGACGAGGTGGAGGAAACAAAAATGCTAAAAATGTGTTGTTTGCAAGAGACATTATAACAATCGTAACAGCAGTTAGAGTTTAATAGAAATGCAGGAGGAGGTTAGATCCTAATTTCACACTCTTTCGCTTGCCTATGTATAAATGTATAAAAAACATGCAAAAACATGTATGTATAAATCTCACAACCAGTACACTCCTTTCACGTACAGTATCTCTCCCAGACTAGCTCCCTCAACTAGGCAAGTCATGCCAGATATTTTATACATATTTGTCTCTCTCTCCCATTTGTTATGATCTACTGAACTACTGAAATATATATAGCTAATGCGGGGAATGATTCAACAGTCGAGACATTCCAGATTGTACCGGACTACATCTTAAACCAATTTTTCTGTGGTGGAAATCAAAAGGTTTCCATTAGGAACACCATTGCTGGCAAAGAGTCATGTGGCAGAGAGTACTGATATACTTTTATAGTAGCTCTTTTAAGTGCAATTTATGTATATCCTATCTCCAGGGAAGGGAGATTATTTCTTTTTTGAAAGCACAATCCTGAGTAATCCCATATTCACATGATGCCCTCCAGTGGGGTGGTGTGCATGGCCGAAGGGAGATGAAGTTGCACGATGTGTTCCAACAGCATACCATTCATTAATTCTGCATTCATTCACTCATAGGAACTTCTGTGTACTCTATGTCTTGCTCAGAGTTTTCAAGATGGTTGAGGGATGCGGCACTCATCAAGACTAAGAGCACAGACACTTTCTCTTTCCTCAGCTCCACTGCCGACACCTTTTATTCTTCAGGAAGTCCAGCTTCCCATCATAGACAACAAGCTCTGTCAGGAGATGTACAATAAAGTCTACATTATTCGACGAGAAATGATATGTGCTGGGTACAAAGAAGGAGGAAAGGACACCTGCAAGGTGAGCCAGGCTTTGTGTATTTGTGACCTCTCTGAAAGCTACTACCCATGATCTAATGCTCTGGTCCAACAGAAGTATGGGCTCTTGGTGTTTTTATTCATAATAATGTAAGAACAGTTACAAAGATGCCTCCATGCTTGCAGCCATATCACCCTGCAACTCACAACTGGCAGCCCACTGAAGCTCAGCAGGTGTGAGCCTGGTCTCTACCAGGACAGGAGACCTCCGGGGAAAAACTAAGGTTGCTGCTGGAAGAGGTGTTAGTGGGGCCAGCAGGGGTCCACCAATCACCAACCCTGTGGTCTGTGTGAGTCCTAATGCCCCAGTATAGTAAAGGGAACACTTTACTATAAAAAGGTGCTGTCCTTTGGATGACAGCACTCTCAAAAAAAGTAGGGGTGCAACCCTGGTATCCTGGCCAAAATTTCCTTTGGCCTTAACCAATCATGGCCTCCTAATAATCCCCGTGTCTGAATTGGCTTCATCATTCTGTTCTCCTCCCCACTGAGAGCTGGTGTGTGGTGTGTACTGGTGCACTATGGCTGCTGTTGCTTCATCCAGATGGAGCTGCACATTGGTGATGGAGGAGGGGAGTCCCCATTACCTGTAAAGTGCTTTGAGTGGAGTGTCCAGAAAAAGTGCTATATAAGTATAAGGAATTATTATTATTATTATTATTATTATTATTATTATTATTATTAAAGATGAGGAAGGCATTCACTCAATCTATAATATTTTGTAGATAGCAGTTCATTGATTGGTTTCCCCCCACAGTACAAAGACATACTGATAGATTAATTGGCTTATGGGAAAATTGGCCCTAGTGTGAGTGTGTGTTTTTGTGTGTCTGTATGTGTGCCCTGTGATAGACTGGTTTCCTGTCTAGGATGTAATCTGCCTTGCACCTGTTGCCTGCCAGGATAGGTTCTGGTTTCCTGTCATCCTGAATTGGCTGAAGCAAATGGATGGGTGGATTCCACCCAGATGAATGAAACAAACAGGACATTTCAGTAAAGAAGACATTCCTTCTTGTGGCTTTCATGTGGTTTTTACTGGTGCCCTTTCAAATTTTACTGTCCATTCTGAAGAAGTCCTCTGGCTTGGCCTCGTCGATTCCCTTGATGATTCTGATTACTTGTGCCAGGTTCCTTACCTCTCTTAAATCCAGGGAATTCTGGTCAATATCCGGTTGCTCTTTTCTGGACTGATTTCAGAGAATGGTGACCAAAACAGTAACAGTATTCTAAAGGAGGCCCTACTATTGTGTTATAACATTTTAAATAACATCTCCTTTTTGTTTCCCCACATTGTCTAAAAGATGTAAATGGTGTCTCAACACAAATACCTCAACGTTTTCTCAAGTTCCTGACAAGCAGTTATTGTCTTAATGAGTTCAGATTGATTGTGATCACATCTACTGACTGATGTGACCTCAAGATCTCAAAAACAAAGAACTATTGGACCCAGTCAGTCTTGGTATAAGGAAACTTTGTGTGCTGCATTAAGTGATATTGGTGGACTCTCCTCATTCTAGATTAGAATTTCCAACAGAATATCCTAGTATGGAGACTGCTGTCACTGTGTTGCAGGAGATGACAACCATAGGATGAGACATTAAACTCAGGACTTCACTACATCGTAATGATTGAAAGGTCCCCTGGTACTGTTTGGAAGAGTAGGGGTGTTAATGCAGGCTAAACTCCAGAATAGTGCTCCTTACTCATCTTAACTCAGCAAGAGAAGGAACACCTACTGCAGGTGTTTGCTGTATTTCATCCTTTACAGCTGTACTGTAGCTGGTGGATGAAGTGGATTCTCTCTTATATGGGAGACATCTCAGTTGGGGTGAAAAATATTTATATTTTAATTACCCAGAACAAGTGATGGCTTGGGTTTATCAGTAACAGCACTGAAATAATTATTGTCTTAATGAGTTCTTATGAACAGTGATCGTTACCCCTGAACCTTGAACTGGTGGTGAAGGACGGATGGTCTTTAGCTATTTCAAGTTATTCTCCTTTATCATTGTATTACCTTAGAAACAAGTCAGACTGGTCACTTGCAGATCATTTCAGGAAAGCACAGGGATAAGGAACGAGACTGCCTACAACCATGATGTATTGAGACAGACAAAGGGAACCTAATCTCTTCTGCTGTAGTAAAAATGCAATATGATGGTGGAGTCAGCTAATACTTCAAAGCAAATGTCTCTGTGTGCCTTCTGTCCCATTCTCTCTCCAGGGTGACTCTGGTGGCCCTCTGGTCTGCAAACAGCGTGGCAGCTGGACTCAGGCTGGGATTGTGAGTTTCGGGAAGGGCTGTGCTCAGCCCAACTCCCCTGGCGTCTACACCCGTGTCTCCAGTTTCAGGAACTGGATAAAGAATCACACTAGAGTCTGAGGCTTCTGCTTAAACATCAGTAACAGCGCTCTTTGCTGCCTGATGATCTGATGTGATAATTGTTTAAATGAGCATTTTAAATCATCTTCTACACCGCTTGTCCTGCTAATTTGTCTCTCTCCTGCTGTATTTGCATTTTATTACTCAGGGATTCTCTGTTTTCTCTGCCATGCTTTGTTGTTTGTTATCTCCTCTTTCTCAATTCAATTCAATTCACCAATGACCAATACATTTCTCTATGTCTCCTGCCTGCTGTGACTTTGCTCTTGGCTTTGCCTTGCCTGCTGTAGGAGATCATTTCCTCTGTCTCTCTGTTGACAATAAAACTGTGAAATTCAAACACTTAGTCTTGGGACTGAACTCATTTACTGATTAAATGAACTTACGATTCTGGAGGAAACGAGCCAATTAAAGAAATTGCTCTTGTCATATTGTCATTAGAAACATTTATCATAGAGATCATTAATCATAGATCATAGAAGAATGTTAAGAGAATTGCAAGTAAAATATGACATATAATAAATAAAAGACATGCACTAAATAGAAATTTGATAAGGTTACTTGGGATTTATAGTAAAATTGCAGGACTGAGTAAATTACATCAGAATCTAAAAATTATGAGTATTGAACTGTTGTTGTTTATGAACTGACTCTGAGTATTTTTTTCACTTGAAAAATTCTCTCACAATAATAAGGGTATTGAAAAGAGGATGTGGTCGAGGCCAGACTAGGGCTAGGGTTACGAGACCCATCCCATTCTGACATGAATTATACTTCTTTTCCCACTTGAAATGACACATTTGAGAGAGTTTACCCAATTTAATTAGTTTTCTTAAACCTTTTATTTTGACATAGTTTTGTATGACAATTCCTGTACTGTCTAACTCAGCACTAATCCAACACTAAGTACTGTATGTTCTGCCTGTCTTGCTACAAAAAATTCTAACATCATTATTATTAACATTGCTGTACCCACTCCTAAACCAAGAGGGCCACGTTAAAAACATCACTGCATTCAAACAGAAACAGTCCTCCCCAAAAATAACAGACAATGAGTGCTGTAGATTTCGTTGCAAAGCCCCAAGCGCTCCATGCACATTTACATGTTCACCTTACCGATTGCACAAGAAGTGTAGCAACTTTTGCTCGGTCAGCATATATTTCTGTTGTATTCTCCTGTGGGAATGTTCTTTATTCAACCTCAGTAATCAGACATGAACTGAAGATGAGTGAAAAATGTAACTTAATTTTATTGTGCCAAACCCATGCCTGTAGCAACCCTACTCCAAAGTTCAAGTTTTCTCACAGTCATTTTAATCCAAACTATGGCAAGTCATCACAGACATATATCAACTTTCCATGATACTTTCCACACTTTCCTTTTAAACTGTTAAACCTTGTCTTTTTAACCGCAAAGTTTGTCTTAACCTCTGTGCATGTCATTTTACCTTACATTGTTTTGCAAAGCAGTTACAGTACTCAAGCTTTTTCACCACAGTCGTTACGCCTCATAACCTTAACTTTCAAAATGGTGAAAAGTCTGCAAAGCCTTGTGATTCAAATGATCTAATTGGACTATTAGATCAGAATAGAGAGGAAAGTAAAAAAAGACATTCCTGAGCGTTTCATTTGATTGCAATGCCTCTCAAAACGCGTGACGATTCCAAACAGGGATCGCCTTCTGCCGCGGCACGACGCCTCTTGAACACCGTGTGAAGTAGGAGCTCGTCTCTAAGCAGACGGGGGTGAGTTCCAAGCAGGCGAAGCAAAACTCAACCTGGCACCGGGGACAGATCACATTTTTACACCCTTCCTTGTTGTGCTCTGCCAGCTGGCCGCATGTGGGGCAAGCCCGGATGGAGGGGCAGTCGGCCACTTCGGTTTCTGGCAAGGACGTCATCGGGCACTTCAGCAGGAGCTCGAGCTCCTTATTAGTGCATCCATCATTGTCGCAGCGGTCGGACCGCGGGCCAGGCCCTTTCCAGCGGCTCATGCACTGCCAGCAGAACTCGAAAGTCGAGCCTGTGTCTGCGGTGCAGACCGTACAGTGGACATTCAGGTTGGCGAGATCTTCTCTCTCCACGAAGGATTGGCAGCCAGGGCACTCAAAGGGAAAAGAAGAAAACAGCGCTTGACTCACAGCGCAAAGCTTTCCTGCGGTCATCTGCAGCTATTTTGACTCAGTCAATGCGAGAAGCAAACAAAGACAAGTAGAAATTAAATCTATTCTTCTCTTATATATACAGTAGAAGAGAGGTTTATTATACCTTTAAAAATGAGAGACCTAAAACTAATATGTTGTGGAAAAATACTATTTCAGGTGATTAGCTATATAGCTAAAGGCTTTATGAATGGTCAATGGTGGGACTTTTGGAGTTCTTTCAAGCAATATGGATTAACAATTTGTGTATTTGAAATATCTTTATGACAGCAACACTCTCCTCAGGCTGCTCCTGAGCCTCAAGTACATGGACAAACCTGGACTGAAAGAAAAATACTGTGAATAGGTTTTAGTCTAGGTCTGCTCTTCAAGCTAGAAAAGACAAAAAAACAAACTAACCTAACAGCCGAACACCATCTAGCACCAAGAATCTCTTTATGTACTTAGGTAAAATGAAACCTATGTGAGAATGTGATTCTCGCCCTACACCAATTAGCTCATGAGTTAACTAATTTACCACTTATAAATCTATTTATTTTGTTATAGAGGCCTGAATGACCTCTAGTGGCAGGTCAGATGAAACTAATGTAACACTAGTGCTGGCTGCCCCAGTCTTCCTTTAGTAAGTGAAGTTAAAGTCATTTGGATGAATAAATCAATGCTGTTCTCTCTAATCATATACAGTACCAGTAAAAAGGCCTAATACATCAAATGTACTTGCTAAGATAAAGCTTTCTGAGACAATTTCACAGAATCAAAACCAAGTTCAAATGCTGGAATCAATGATTTATCATTTATTTCCATAATTTGCAGTATCTTCTACTGTCATGGCCATGACATATACGCAGAGATCCACCTGTGAAAAGTACTTACTGACTTATATTCACAGTACTCTGCAGCTGCCAGAGCTGCAAGAGTTTCCTCAAAGTGCTGCTGTTCTTCAGCAGTAAGAACAGCCAGTTTCCGAACCTCCTCGTACGACCACACTGCTCCGCACTTCTGCAGAGTTCCATCCTTCAGGGCTGGGCAGACAAATTTGTACTGTCCCTGGAGCACCACAAAAGAAGGTTGGGACAGTAACATGAATAGTTGCAAAGGAGAGGCTGCCATGTGGTCCAAGTGGCCTGTTTAAACAATGCTCTGGTGTCCTGTGTGAGAATCAAACTCGGGACAATCAGATTATGAGACCGTTATGCTGCAATGATGCTCTTACTAGATTTGGGGCTCTGCTCATGAGGATAAAGGCTACACTGTGAACTGAAAGTGAGGACTGACCGAAATTGTGCTTACTGTGTTTCTTAAGAATTTAACATTTTTATCCAATTTAGAAAGACAGAAAATACACCAAAAGGATCATTCACAGCATATTGTCTTCTCTAACTGCACATGCTAGACATCTTAAAAAAATGTTTTTTTAAAATCTAACTTTTTCCCATTCTTGTGCTTCTGTACTTGTGCTTGTAAGTTACAGTGATAAAGCCCACTGAGTTATCACTTCATTTATGTTGTGAGAAAGATGTGAATTGTATACTGTAAGAGTTCTTCCTGCTGCAAGGAGGCCACACTGTAGAGAGGTCATCCATTTCTGTGACACAGCTAAAGGTCCTTTGAAAAGCAGACAAAATGCATGAAGAACATGTCATATTACAGCTCACCTGGTCAAGCAGACTTCGACACCAAGCTGTCAATGAATTTGGAGTCACGGCATGTCCACAGGACATTTCTGCCCTCAGAATGTCAGGATCATCATCAAGAGCTTAACAAACAACAATGCATATTGTTTAGCTAAACAGTTGTAATTCGTATGAGTGGTGAGATAATGAGAATGCTGTGTAGACAATCCTGGTCCTGCAGTACCCCACACGTCCTGGTTTTTGTTCCAGCCGAACTCCCAGCTGTATGATCAAAGCCTGAACAGTTTGATCACTTTCAGTTCTTCAGCATGTCTGAGGTCACCATTTGACTATTATATTTTGCATACATAACCAACAAAGTACAAACTTTGGAGAAAAATCAAGCAACTTCTTACTTCATTGAAGGAATCATTTAATTAATTAGGCTCAGCTGGAATGAAAACCAGCAGGTGTGTGGACCCACCAGGATCGTAAACTCCTGGAGTAGGCTACCTCCTTATGGAGATTAGCATTATTTTGAGGGTTTTCATTATATACATATATCCATTCCAGTACACTGTGCTTCTCATCTGATACAGCCAATGGCTACATAAAATAAGGACAGATAAAGCTACATTCCCAGACTAATCAACAGGCTTTGTTCTCTTCAGTCTTATCTCATTTTCACCTGCACCTAGTTAAGTTCCTGTTATCTGATCATTGACAAGGAAGCTGCAAACATTTGAAAAGATAAAAAAGAGGGTGCAGAGTTATATAAACAGTTGGAAGTAATTCCAGGAAGAATATTTTATTTTTATGGCTGGTTTTGATTTCTTAAATGCTGAGCTCTTGTTTTTCCAGTACATGTACTGGCTATCAAGTCTATTTCATAATCATAGCATAACAGTACACCCATAGTACTGTAATGCTATAATGCTTTTATTTCATAGCATAATCTACAAAAATAAATTCAGAAATACAGAAATAAGAATAAAGAGATTGTAATGCATTCTCAGTCTTCATCCATCTTTTTTCTTCACCATTTTCAACTATAGAAACACAGAGTTATTTTTAGACCCCTCTTCTTTTGAATTCTGTATTAAACCCACCAAGGAAAGCTGTGTTTTATTTAAAAAAATAGTTTGGGTGGGTAGCTGCATCAGCATGCGTAGTCTGCAAAGGACTACGCAATAGGTAATAGGTTAATTCCGTGCTAAAAAGAGAAGAGAGAAAACACAACGTTTCGGCTGTGAAGCCTTCTTCAGGTATGACACTCACAGCTGCAAAGACACTTGTAACATTGTTCCTCTCACACCTGAAGAAGGCTTCACAGCCGAAATGTTGTGTTTTCTCTCTTCTCTTTTCAGCATGGGATAAACCTATTGTTTCTTTTATAAAAAAAATGTCTCATGAACACCATATCAGATTCCTTTTATATGTTTTTTTCTATACATGGTATAGTGTTGCATGTACTGTTAAAATGATTTTTCTTCTACCAATTGTGAACCACACTGGTTCCTGTTAACGTAGCTATTTAAAGAAAACAACGCAAGCTCACACAATTCCATTTTCCAAACTTCATCAGCGAAGAACACTTACTGATTTCATCCTTCCTGTTCACAAACTTGAGGGTCGTGTCCTTTGGGTCGTAGCGCTTTTCATTGTTCTGCTCCTGGGTCGTCATACTGCTGCAGAAGTCTTACTTCTGGGAAAAAAAGGTGTTTGTTGCCCTCTGGAATGAACAGAACACAAACACGGCACCAACGTACACTGCTGATGTGTTTGCAAATATCAGTTTCCTCGAGGTGTGTGAAACACTTTCTGTTTCGGATTGACTGGGCAGGCCCTTTACAAGAATTCGCGTCATTCAGTCCACACTGGTCTTGTCAAATTCTACCAAGCTTAGAGCACACGTCATTTATAGCCTTCCTTCTCAGCTGACTACCCCAAATATACTTACAGGCTTAAATGATGTTTTTAATCCTTTCACAAGCACAGAGAGCTTGCTGTGAAATATACCCTGTGAATCACAGTGGGTACAATGTGAATCCCTATGTAAATTATTTCAGGAAAGTGGTTTGTGATCTTGGATGAAACATATTATGTCTTTATTATTGGTTTTCTGGAAATTTCAACACTTATTTTAAATAAATATATTCGAGGATGTATGTTCTCTCAGCAGAACTTTCAGATTTTTTCCAGTAATTCAGATATTGTCCAGTAATGTGATTCTAGAACAACAGCTAACAAGTTGAATAATTGGTTAAGTTTGAACAAGCAATGGACAAATTCTACTCAAAAGCCAATTGCAAACAACCACGTTAAAATGTACTGAAATTCAACAGATTCCACAGGTTTTATATTAATTTTCAGCTGCGTTGGAAATATTTAAATACCTTATATCTGCGCTTTCTATTTTTTACATAAGAAATATCTCCATCAGTTCATTTAACAGCAACAATCAACTATACTAGATTTTTAGACAGTTTCTGAGCTGAGTAGTAAGTGATTTTTAATTTTATACTGTGAATATAAATCTGAGAATCTGGAAAGACAGTATCAACTGTAGTCATATCAAAGTCAACTTTAATGTTTACTCAATGTTTTGAATAGTTTTTTTAACCTTTGGTATCTAATATGTCTTTTTGAGGCTTGTGAATGCAATCGATCCCTATAATCAGAATCAGAATCAGAAATCAAAACAGAGAGTGAAGCTCTGTCACAACAACAAACTCAGCAACGTTGGAAAGGCTCCAACATTGTGCACCCTTGTAGTACTTTACTGAAATGTTATCATTGCTATTTTTATATGATTAAAAATAATTTGGCATGTTTGCTTTTTAATTATAAATAATAGAAAGGAGGACAGCATGTTGGCACAGTGGCTCCCACTGCAGGGGCCCTGTGTTACTGTTTGCCTGGAGTTTTATGTTCTTCCAGTGTCCATGTGGGTTTCCTCCCACAATCCACTAACTTACCAGCTAGTTGGCTTCTGGGAAAATTGGCCCTGGTGTTGTGTGTTTGTGTGTATGTGTGTGCGAGGGACTGGTGTCCTGTCCAGGGTATATCCTGCCTTGCGCTAATTGCTTGCCAGGATAGGATCCCCAATGACACTGAATTGGAGAAAGTGCTTGAAAATGGATGGACGAAGGGATGGAAGTTCAGAAAGCTCAGAAAGAGGCATTATTATTATTATTATTATTATTATTATTATTATTTTAAGGGAAAATGTGTATTGTAATAAAAACAAAAAAGGATGTGGTATGGATGTACTTTATACAAACGTTATACATCAAATGTAATCAAAATCATTTCCCCTGATGGAATGAAATTGATAAATAATTGAAATGACACCACATGTGATTTTATATACAACCATATCTCATAAACATGTGATTTACAGGCTCTTTAATTCTTCCTCGATTGATCCATTACTAGTACATTAGTTCCTATTTATTTGTATTTTATTGTTTTCAGAATTTATTCTTACATACAGTATAACGTTTTCATATTCAAAAACGATTTTTTAAATAAATTAAGGGTATTTTGGTTCATCCAAATTATGTAAATCTATAGGCTCTGGCATTCCTGTATTAGATAAAGTGGTTATAAAATAGATTAAAGGATGGATAAATGAAAGCATGGACTGTTTAAAACCTCCACTGAGGTGATTCAGGTATTCAGGTCGTATATTATGGTGAAAGGTTCATCCTGGAGTGAGACTCAGAGGGACAATGGTACATTGAACGAGAATATGCTCACAGCACTGTGTTTTATAAACCAGGAAACAGGAGGTCAGATAAGTAAACATTATGAAATTTAGTGGTGTAATGTGCTTATTCATTCTGTGTACAAAATTAACCAAACATTTGCTAAAAAAAAAAACCGAACAATGGTGGTGGAGTTCCACCTTATATTCATACAACAATAACAAATAACGACAGTATATTATGTAGCAATGCAGTTCAAAGTCTATTTAAATAGCATATCCTTTTAAACACACAGTACACTAGAAACTGAAAATGGGAGTGCAGTTTAACTTCAGCCTGCCTTCCTCAAGGCTGTTAGTCACAGATCAAAGAGGGCTCAGCTGTACTGTATATTTTAGCAGGTGGTCACATGTGTAGAGAAGGCAGAAGCTGCAGAAGTAATGTTTTCAGTAACAGGTGGTTTAATACTGGAGAGTTCAAGTAGGTTTTTGAGGATTCAAATAGGTACAGTAACTGCCCTGTTATTATTATGATGTGTGCCCAAAAGGGAACTGAAGATGGCCCAGTTTATTTTATTGCACAACAGTCAATGTTATGCAGTTTATTTTAATTCTTAACCTGCACACTTACAATCTAAGCTTGTAACACACGTTCAGAAAGAAGGTTAGATCTAAATCTCCACTACTTCTGTCACTTACTTCAGCTCTCCTACTGTATATATTGTGATAGAGTCGGATTCAGCAGGGTGCTGCCTGAGCAGAGCGTTTCTTATTCCTGCGCGGTGTGAAAAAAAGAAGAAAGAAAACACAACGTTTCGGCCGTGGAGCCTTCTTCAGGTGTCTGGAGAAGGCTCCACGGCCGAAACGTCGTGTTTCCTTTCTTCTCTTTTCAGCATGGAATAAAGCTATTACTTGTTCCTTTGCAGCCTACGCATGCTGACGCAGCTCCCCATCTGAACCACAATATACATATATATCTAACTTTCTGGATTTCCTTTTGCTCATTTTTTCCCCACCACCCCATCTTACATTCTTGTATATTATATTATCATATATATATATCAAATCTTATATTGTTAATTATTCAAAGAAAAAATTTAAAAAAAGAAACATTTGTCTCATAAACACACAATTGTGTCACAATTTTTCTTTGAATAATTTTACCTCACTGAAAGGTTAGATTTCTCTCATATTTTCAGTGTAAGATCAAGCTGCTAAACAACAAAGACATTTTTTCATAGCCTTTTTTGCTCATTTTTACCGAGGGTGCCAATAATTCTGGAGGGCACTGTATATTCTTTCTCACCGCCCTGTCTACACCCCTGCAGCAGCAGCTCCCTGGTTTCAGTCAGCCCAGTTCTCTACTTAGACAATTTTTAATGTCAGCGCTGGATTTTGGGGCCCAACTCAGGTTTTGGACTTTTTTTTTACGGAAACTCCCCGAGGCCTGGATGGGGCGGTGCACCTCGGGTAAACTGTATCACAAAACTGAGTCGGTTGGATCAAAAGTCGCAACCAAACATTCTAGAATCTAATACTTTTGCAAGAGCTTTTACTTAGTTTTGTAATGAACAGTAAATGAAATGATTTAATGTTGCCTCAAACAGTATTTAATTGTTGACAGTTTTTTTCATTTGCAAATTATGTTATATACATTTCTGGTGGTCAGGTTAACCTCAAACTGAAACGTTTTTTACTCTGAACATTCAGCACTTTTATGCTTGTTTTGGGATTTGAAATTAATTGCTAATACCCTGTTGGTTTTTGTGCAGATCCTGCAGGAAAGCGCTGTTTCCTTTACAGAGAACATACTGTATCTAAGTCAGACCTCGTGACTTCTGGATAACACGCTCACTTACAGTAAGTCTATTTATCTCATTTCCTGGAAAGAGAAACCTTAAAGAGTGAGAACTAATACAATGAAGGCATTGCAGGGTGTAAGACTTATACATTAATTGAATCACGCACCTTTTACGTATAAAACTTATACTGCACCTGGAGCAAAGAAATGTATTCTTTTTAAATGTATTCTCAAATGTTTGCGAAATTTCCTACTAATGTCCATGTCCCTTTTGCAGGTAATCTACTTCCTTCTACATTGAAGATATGCATGAGCAAGGTAGTAACAAGTGATGATATGATGGCTAACTTCACAAGCATTGGTAAAATCAAAATGTCACAACATGTGGAGTCACAACATGTGCTGTATATCTCGTCTGCACTTCCTGATAAGAGCAAAGCGAAACCAAAAAAAAAGCCAGGTCACCACAGCTCGCAGCCAGAAACACAGCTAGCTCAGAACACAACAACAACAGCTGCGACATGGGAAAGACTTACCAAGTCATAGTGGTTGGGATCAAAGGAGAAAAAAAGGCCATCGATGTGGGGCATTCAGAAGAAGAAATGAATAATCTCAGCATTCTGGAGTTCAAGAAGAGAATATTTGAAAAGATTCCTGGGAATTCAGGTAAAGAACATACTATTTCCTATTGGTTCAGCAGAGCAACAAAACCCTGTTTCAGTTACTCAAGACTACTGACCAGAGACTATGAAGAGGTATAGGAAGGATTCAATCTGAAGAGAGAGCATGTGTTATTACAAAATTACTTCTTAGTCAGATAATTTTGATATAATTATTTGCTGGGTGATGAATAGCAATTTGTCAGTGTTTCTGGTTCCGAAGCACTGTATTTTGTACTGCACATTTAAATTGGTCTTCATTAGACCTTTTGCATTATAACACATTTCTGTCTTGTTATTAAAGTGGACATGTATCTGCTTTGGTGTGATTTCAAATATTATTATTCATAAAAATTTCATGATGGGTTTTTTAATGTCCATTTTCAGCGCTACATGAAATCAGCTTATTTTGCTTTCTAGTCACAGGCTCGAGCTCTGTGAAAACCCACTAGTAACATATACTGTAGACTATGCTGAACAGCTATTAATGTTTGGCTAGAGTTTTTCACTAATTCATGTATTCCAAGCTATATTCAAACAATCTGGAGCTTATTATGAATACTTCCCTCACCTGCATACATCGGAATGTACAACTAGATTGGAATCATATAAGGCAATGCACACACTCCCCACACACCAAGCACCCAAAGTCTAAAGTTCCCATAGAAATATATAGCTCCAATGGCCCTGCTGTATTTATGCTAATCTGATCTATTACAACAAGACTGGGGACTTTGATGCACATAAACGTCCAACCATAAATCAGCACATTCTGAATATCACTTACCCTCCCCAGTTTCTAATTTTATTTGACATAACACATTGAGGACAGAACGGCAGCTCAGTGGTTAACATGGCTAAAAACCTAAAGGTTCTCCAATTTAAACAGTACAGGGTCTCGGGGGGAGCTGGAGCTGGAGCCCTGCCAGAAACAGGCACAAGGCTGAATATACCCTGCATAGGATGCTAGTCCATTTCAGGGCAGACACACAGACACGAACACAAGCACCCAGAAGCCAGTTAACCTACCCATACAGTACGTCTTTGGATTTCTGGAGGAAACCAGAGCACACAGAGAAAACTCCCATGAACAAAGGAAGCACATACAAACTCCGCACAGATAGCACCCCAGGAACTGGACCTCTGCACCCACCACTGTGCGGTGCCAAGAAAGTTTCAGTGTTGATGGAGTCCATGTATCCCATCTCTTAGAAATGACCCTGGAATCAAGCATCTTCACCTGAGAATGGTGACGGCGGTGATGCAACTCATTTGGTGCAGCATTGGTTAACTTGCCCTGTCTTGTTTCCTAGGCAATCCTGATGAGCTGCGGTTGATATACACTGATAAGAACCTGGAGGACTCTGGCAAGTTTTCAGATTACCAGATCAAGGACAGGTCTCATATCTTTGTGGTACTGAAATTGCCGGGTGGAAGGAGAAGCAGAAGAGCGTGAATGAAGCTGGAATTTGACTTTTTTGGTTTTTTTTCTTCATTAGTATGCAGGGATAATGATGATCTTCAGTCCATGACCTCCAGCTTAGGCCAGATTGAATTGTCTTATCTGTTTTGCAGGTTTGTGGGTGGTGATGATTTGCAAAATGATCTCCATGTTCTTGTGATACAAAAATTGCCATTTTTTTTCCTTCCATGTGTAGTGCATGCTGAAGGTTGCAAGGCACCAAACATTGAGATCTTCTCTGTTCATACAGTGTTGTAGCTGAATCTCATTATCTCCATATGCCACAGGCCCTGGGATAAAAAAACAAAACTGTGATGCTTGTGAAACCCATTGAGTCAGCAGCCTTCTACCCCAGTCACAAAAACCTCAATTCAAAGTGTTTCTTCCATCTCATGATAATGTTGCTTAATTAAACAGTTATGCAGCCTCAATACTTTAAACCCTGTTACCTTTATTGGAATATGAAGCCTGAACATACAGTGGCTTCAGCGTTGGCACTACCTGCCTTAGGAAAATAATAACCACAAAATATACAAATCGTACCACTTAACCACGTGTTTGTTTAATGTTTGATTTTGTTTTACTTGGCTTTAGCAGTAAAGGCATAGGTTTAAATTGTTAGCAACTTTACCCGGAATATGTTAACATGGGATATCTGTACTGTAATATACTTTGATTTGTTTAATCAGTTCAACAGTAAAATGAATGTAGACGTTAAATAACTTAGAGCAGTAGGTTCATCAACATACTCATACTTGTCACCTGTGTCAATGTCTGCTGTTGTTAGAGCTAATGTATTGGGAAATAATGATTACCTTCTATACCGATTTCCCATATTCAAGGTGGAATATCTATAAAGATGAAGAACTGTGTTGGCTAGGACATATTCTTTGTTTGTTTTCTGTGAGCATGCTTTATCTTCTCTTTGAACACAATTAAAGTCCATTTTGCTATTGTCATATTGACACACCAGTACATCTTTATACTTTGTGTTAATTTGTCTCTGGAAACACTGGGGGAAAAGTCATGCAGGAGACGGGTATGGAGACAGGGGGCGTGTCCTTGGTGTGCAGGTGTCCAGGGGGAGTGAGTCCAAACCGGGAATCCAAAACAGAAGCTTAAGTCTATGGCCAGGCGATCAATCCGGGAGAATAAAAACGGGAACCGGGTCGGGACCGGCGGGGGGAACAGGAACAGGGACAGGAACAGAAAGTTAAAAACATGACGGAGCCAGACACAGCAGGACTCGGGCTCACGCGAAACGTGATTCAATGTAGAGCTACGAATGACGTCTGCGTCTGGCTTTTAAGGGGGAACTGAAGAGGGGCTGGAATGAGGCAGAACGAGGATGAGCTGGAGCTCCCTAAGAGGAGGAGAAGCGATCGTGACATCGTGTTTTCAATGTGAAAAGAGAACTTTGATCCTGCAGTTTTTTGTTCCATGGTTTGCATGATATAAACATGGTATCGTGTGTAATCAGACTGACTACATCAGCACCTGCAGTGCTGTCTGCATGGGAGTTTCTAGTTTAATTGGTTTCTAGGAAAACTGGTCTTGGCATCTGCCCAGGTGGTACTCCACCTTGTATCCGTCGCTTGCTAGGATAAATTAGTGAGGGGGTCTGTGTTTATAAGATAACGAGAGGAAGATCTGCTTTGGCTGAAAGTAAAAAAGTAATACTGTATATCTAATAACGCGACGCCTCAGTATAATCAGATGTGTGTACTGAAAACGAAAGTGGAAATAAAACTCTCATCAGAACTGCCTTTCCCTTTAACGACTTCTAACTTGAGGTTTCTATTTACTTCGAAGCGCTATGCGCTGTGTTTTGTGTAAAGATCGCTAAGTCCTACATCTGTATGAACTCGCTTTCCCTTCGCACACGATGCTGCTGTAAATGGATATATCCCAAGACTCTTTCGCCTGCTAGGGAAAATATATATCCCACAAAACAAATTTGAGTCGTTGAGTCCCAGACAAAGGTAATTTGCAAATTACTCTTTTTCAAGGAGCTTAGCTGCGTGATTATGTAAGTATTTTGATTTCACTTCTGTGTTTTTCTGGTTATTCGATTATACTCGTCAAATGTTAACTTGCTTACTGATTCGTACAATAATATACGCGGCAAACAGTAACATTAAAGGCGACAGGTAGCTTGGTTACATCCCTGAATTCGTTTTCTTTGGCACGAACGAGAAATTCATGCTAAGGATTCACATTTTGATGGGTTAAATAGGTCAGGATGAATGTAAAAAGCCATATTTTTTCAGCAGTTCATAATGTTAAATCATGCGACTATTTGCAAGTGGCCTCACGTCTTTTTGGGTCAATTAAAATGACTTGAAAGCAGCGTATTAACCGGAGATGACTCCGCGGTTAGTGCGCACCTCTGTAATAATCTAGGACGCTAGATTAATACCAGTTTCAAAGAATTTAGCTGCTGAGCTGATCTCCTGATCAGTAAGTAAAAATTCTCTCAACTGCAACCTACCAAAAGTAACATTTGCTGCCCTCTATAGGATTTGAAAGTACTGGACGAAGTATATTTCCGAGTTTCTTAACTGCTTCTTTCAGTTCATGTTGGAGGTTTGGCTAGGGCCTAACTCGGCAAACAACGGGGCTAAACGGGTACACTTAGAACTCCATCGCCGTCCATCGCAGAGCACATACTGTACAGACACACACCTGCGCAAAAGGGCCAGTTTTCTCCTAAATAGTGTACCAGTATGTCTTCGGTCTGTGGGAGAAGACTGGAGCATCAGAAGGGTATCCTCGTGAACATACAAACTCCACCCAGATTGAAATGTGGGATTTGAACCCAGGGCTGCAAGACAAGAATGCTAACCACACCTCCCACATCCCTGTTATTTGTATAACTTATTTCTATTTGAGCAAACAGGTCATATTTTCTGGTACAGTTGTATTTGGTCTTTTTATGCTGTTTCTACCATGACATGTCTGTTTCTGTAGACATAAAAACGAAAATTGAACTAGTTATCACACCTGCCATCCTGTTTGAACAAACCTGATGAAACGAACACAATGGAGTCTCAATGCATATAGACTGAAAGGACCACCTACACACACTCCATTAGTTGCTTTCGAAAACCTTACATGAATTTCCTATAAAAAATTTTCAAACTGTATTTAATTCAGTTTTGGTACGTGAGCTATTTAGTGCTCTATATGTCTTTTTCCATAGCCTCAGTACAGAGGAACACAGACAGAAAACAGCAGGCAGAGAACGACAGGTCCAACACTGAAGGAACCATAACAGGTTCTGATGGTGAGGTGAGTCAAGGACTGAGAAGCTTGCAGAGGAGTAGGATTCTGTAGCAAACACGGGCGGAGACGTTAGACCACCTTTGTCTTTGAGTAAGTCAATCAAACAAGTGACATTTCCTTCTCTGCCCTTTTCGTTTCCTAAACAGCTTTATCCTTTCTGCATGTCGTGACTGAAGACTGTGCTGCCAAGTGATCCTTCATGTGATTAGTTTTGTGGACATTAGGGTGCGCTGTGGTGTTATAATTCATCACCTCCTATAATATTTATCTTGAGTTCTGCACGTTTTTCATCTCTGGTCCAATGAAAGTGTAATTACACACTCTTGCTAAATTAGTATAGTATGGATGGAAACGAATCACACATGAGCAGTTTCATGTTGTAATGCCCCATGATAATTAGGTGAAGGGTGAGTATGTGCAGTAATATTATAGATATTTTATGAAAGAGAGCTGGGTGACTTCTTTTTGAGGTGTGCACTAAGCTGTACTTAAGGCTGGTCACCTTTATGAAACCTTAGAGTTGTGGCTTGATTTTCAGGGAATCTAACATAATGGTCTTAGCAGTCGTTTTTGTTTTTCTTTCGGTTGCTCACTGAATATTTTGCCACCCTCTTACAGAAATAACTCTTACAAAGTCATTGACCGCTCACTTTATTCCTGCAGTGGGCATCAAATGAAACTTTTCACTCTATTAATGCATGCATGTTTTCAGAAAAATAAGGCATGCAGATTTTTGCATGTTGAGGAGATGTATTTGACATCATTTTGATGAATTGATCATTCGTGACTACCCATGATCCACTCGAATATACAAAGTATTGTAGCTTCTATGTGCGTGTATATGGCATATTTCATTTCTGCAGCCTCTGAGCAGAGGACTCCCTGTTGCTCTGCAGGAGTGGGAGACTGGGTGTGAAAGAGGATGGGCTCATGTATCATTGCTGATGATTTCACTGGGCAAATGAATGACAGCACTGAGGACCAGGACCCAGCAGGACAGCCAGTAAAGGGTGAGACTGAACATGATTATTTACCTTTTATTATCTGTGATGATCTACATTTAATTGCTCATGAGACAGCTAGAAGAACATCTCCCATTCCAGCTTCTCTATGCAAATCCCAGCATTGTTTGTAGAGCAATTGAAAACATGCAAGAGCAAACTGTTTGTCAACTTTTCTGCCCTTTACAGACCTTTCTTCAGTGCAAAGGAACACCCCGATTAATATGATCTCCAGACTTGAGCTTTGTTCTTTCCACATGATTAGAAGGCACAGAATTCATAAGTACAAAAAGGAAGAAATGTACTTGGACTTCATACAGTATATACTGTACATGGATATATATTAGACAAAATAACTACTAAACTACTACTCAATTGCTCAGTTGTGTTCATTGTCCTCTGCTCAGATTCATGGTTCCAGCATTGCAAGTAGAGTGAAGGAATAAAATAAGCCCTTGTTTAACTGGCTTTAATGTGCTGGGTATACATTTTTTCATTAACTTTGTTTTCAATTTACATACAGTAGCTTTGCATCATGAGAACTTCAAAAGTGGAGGACACTTTTGAAGTTCTTTCTTTCTACTGGATGCAAAGATTGACTACAAACTGTAAGGAAACAGTCTCATCCTAGTCCTCGAGTATAAACAAAAACATTTTTATTGGTGCTCACGTGCAGAGCTGTGTCAGTGCTTTGGCTGCAAATGGACAAGTAAAGGTTAATTCTATGTTGAAAAAAGGAGAAACACAATGTTGCATGCTAGTGCCCTCAGTTCAGTTCCTGGGGTTTTGTGCTAAAATGGAAAAAATGCAGCACCATGCTGCCCGAAAGTAACGCATTCTTGTGTTACATTTTATTATAATATAATATCCTTACATTTATATAGCCCTTTTCTGGAAGCTCCACTCAAAGCTCTTTACATGTAAGTACCTCCACCACCACCAATATGTAGCCCCCACCTGGATGATAGGACAGCAGCCAAAGTGTGCCAGTACACTCACCACACACCAGCTCTCAGTGGGGAGGAGAACAGAATGATGAAGCCAGTTCAGAGACGGGGATTATTAGGGGCCATGATGGGTAGATTTTGGGAAGGACCCCAGGGTTACACCCCTACACTTTTCAAGAGATACTCAGGGATTTTGAATGACCACAGAGGGTCAAGACCTTAGTTTTAAGTCTCACACAAAGGATGGTGCCACTTTTATAGTATCATGTACCCATCACTACAGTATACTGGAGCATTAGGATTCACACAGATTTCAAGGCAAACACGCCCTATTGATCCCACTAACAAATCTTCCAGCAGCAACCTTAGCTTTCCCAGGAGTCTCCCCTTCAGATACCAGCCAGGCTCACACCTGCTTAGCTTCAGTGGGCTGCCAGTTCTGATTAGAAGGGTGCAATACAGTGCTGACCATTAAATGGCTGCTGACAAAATACCGGATGTGTTTGTATTTGTTTCAGGTTACAATGGTTTGAAAAACCAAGGAGCAACATGCTACTTGAACACAGTGCTGCAAGTCTTCTTCATGACCCCAGAATTCAGAACTGCAATAAATGGGTCTGGAAACACTTCAATATTTTACTGTGTTGCTGTTTGTTTTGGAGATTGTATTTTGTTAATTTTGTTTTCAGGTGAAGAAGGGATGGATACTGTGGAGAATGTTCCTCCTTTAGTATTTTGTTATATTTAAAGTTACGTATTTGAGCCATATAAATTCATTAAAACCAGGTCTACTTGCAGAAATGCAGGATTTGAATTCCACAGAGCCAGTTGTTAAGATGCTTTAATTTCTCTTTAACTCATCATTGCACACCTATGAAATTAAATACCTATTCAATTAAATTTAATTACATAATTATACATATCCCATAATATCTTTAAATTAATGTTTAAAATATCTTGTGTGTATTGATACATAATTCAAACCTCACGTTTTGTCAGGATGGAGGAGGAGAGCGAAGGAAGTGTCTCATTCCAGCTCAGGACATTGTTTGAAGGACTAGAACAGGGACATGCATGTGTTGAAACAAAGGGCATCGTAAAGAGTCTTGGGATAGTAAACGGTAGGTCATACTCTCTCTGAATTGGGGGCACTTCTGAATGTAAGAACTTAAAAAGATTACAAATGAAAGAAAGTCATTTGGCCCATCTAGCCCATTTGGTATTTAATACTTAGTTCATGAAAGGATCTCACCCAGACAATTCTTGAAGACTAAAAAGTTAGCTTCAACAACATGACTTGGAAGCCTGTTCCAGACACCTACAGCCCTTTGTGTAAAGTAGAGATTTCCACCCCCCCATCCTGATTGCAAGATCTCATTCAGCCATTTGTTAAAAGAAACCAGGGTATTGGTTTCAACAACCTGGCAGAGTAGATTGTTCTTCTGCACCCTCACCACCCTTTTGGTGAAGAAATGCTTCCTGTTCTCTGTTTTAAATGCACTTTCCTGTATTGTGCTTCGTTTGAGTTTGACTGTTGTCATTTGATAAAGAAGTCCATTGGGTTGACTTTCTCAGTGGCGTCGAGGATCCTGATTACCTGGGTTATTGCCTTAAGGCAATTGCCCCCACTGCCTTCCCTGTTCAGGACTAAACAGACTCAGTTTCTTCAGTCTGTCAGTGTAGGACATCTTTTTAAGCCCCTGAATGTGGACCATGTGTTCAAAACCACCTGCAAATGAAATAAAATGGCAGCTAAAGTTGTTTAAAATGAATAGGTTTGGATAAGGATAACAGAAACCTACACTTACTGTCCATTTGATAAAATAAGTCTCAGGTTGTGAAAACCAATATCTACTTTTAGGACAATGAGTTTAGAACAATTACAGAAATCCTAATTTCAATATGTATCTAATTATAAAATGAGTGAATTATAATCAGAGCTCTAGAATACATGATGTAAAAATGTACATGACAAATCTTGCAATAATGATGTTATGTACATTTATGTACATTTTATTTATGTACTTTAATGATGGTTCTTTACTTACAGTAGCATTGGTTTGCAGAATGATGTGAGTTGGATTTCTTGTAAAAACAAGAGTTAAAGCTTTATGTTAATGTTTATCATATTCTTGAGTGCATATACTTTTTTTCTCAGTTTATGAGCAAAGAGATGCCGAGGAGTTTTTCCAGAGGATATTAAATGCAGTCAGCAGAGATGCCTCAAAGGTATGTCAAATTCACTTTACTCATAAACTAGAAACAGAACAGCAGGTGCTACTGGCTTTATTTACACAAACAAAAAGAGATGTCCAGAACATGTTACATCACGTTTCAGGTGAACAATCAAATATTGGCACTCATATACAGTACCTGCACAAGAAAATAATGCTTGCTTATTAACCTTCCAGCTTTAATACACTTTGCAATCTTTAACCCACTGTACCTGTACTTTCATACTGTATGTAGTTCAGGTGGGTAGCTGCATTAGCATGCATAGTCTGCAAAGGAACAAGTAATAGCTTTATTCGATGCTGAAAAGAGAAGAGAGAAAGCACAACAATTTGGCTGTGAAGCCTTCTTCAGGTGTGAGAGTAACAATGTTACAAGTGTTTTTGTGGCTGTGTCACAACAGAAGAAGGCTCCACAACCGAAATGTTATGTTTCCTTTCTTCTCTTTTCAGCATGGAATAAACCTATTACTTGTTCCTGTACTCACATATGTCATATACTGTATAGGAATTGTATCCCATACAGTATCTATCCTGTAAATGATTCCTGTATATGGGAAGCCAAGTGATTTATTTTAGATATTTCTATAAGCATTCAAATATCTTTAAATATTTGATGATGTCTGAAATGATTGAGATATATTGTTAAATCACTTGAAGATATTCCTATGATGTCCATCTTGAATCATTTATAGATATCTTGAAATTATTTGGAGATATCTCTAAATGACTTCCTGGTAATTAATAATTAATAGCTGCATTTAATAATTTGCCTTGCCATTGCTATGTTGCCTCCATATGTCATGGTTAATTTAAACTCACTAAATCACTTAACACTTAAATCTCTGTGTCACAGTATCCATTGTGGTTGCTGGTCTGCTCCTGGGCACTTAAATATGTTAGATTTTGTGTTGAAAGATGTCAGTTGTCTGCATCAGTTTTCACTGAAGACTGAGTCCACCATAAAAGCAAGCCCCTAAAATGCATTTTCTTATTCAGTGTTGCCAGTCCTCATTACAAATGTCTGAATAGGAAACAAATCTCGAGTTGTTCAATGGCAGTTGGTTTTGTTTTTGTTTTCAGTTTTTTCAGGGCACTTTAATACATACAACAAAGTGTTTGAAATGCAACTTTCTGTCAGAGGAGGATAAAAGTCAATTCCTGGATATTCCATTGTCTGTTAACGTACAACACAATGAGCTCTACAATATTGTAAGTAAGATCCAGCTCCATCAGTATCCATATCTATTATATATATCATATTTACCTTATTTATTGTATATAAGAGGGATGGCATAGTGGTGCGGTGGCTCTGTGGCTAAGGATCTGCGCCTGTGACTGGAAGGTTGCTGGTTCAAATCCCGCGGCCGGCAGAGGAATCCTACTCCATTGGGTCCTGAGCAAGGCCCTTAACCCCAACTGCAGCAGGGGTGCCATACAATGGCAGACCGTGCGTTCTGACCCCAAGCTTCTCTCCCTGTCTGTGTCTCCATGGAGAAAAGCTGGGGTATGCGAAAAGATGAATTCCTAATTATAGGGCTAATAAAGAAACATTATCATTATCATTGCTGCCTTGCAGCACTCAGACCCTGGGTTGAATTCCTGTGTGGAGTTCCTATGGGTGTCTGGATGTCTGGATTTCCCACCACACTCCAAAGACATGCTGGTAGGTTCACTGGTTTCTGGGAAGATTGGCCCTGTTGTGAGTGCTTGTGTCTACTTTGTGATGGACTGACATCCCATGCAGGGTGTATCCAGGCTTGCACCCATTGCTTTCTGGGATAGGCTCTGGCTCCCCTGCTGCTCTGAATTGGAAGAAGTGGTTAGGAAATGGATGGAAGGACCTATATGTAATACAGAAACAGATTTTATTTGATGTTGTGAGGTATCTAAAATATTTAGATGATTGGGAACAACATTATTTCTTTCTGCAGGTGTTTCTTATTTAAAGAAGTTCAAGTAGGTAGCTGCGTCAGCATGCGTAGGCTACCTACTTGAATAAAGATTTATTCCATGCTGAAAAGAGAAGAAAAGAAACAACGTTTCAGCTGTGGAGCCTTCTTCAGGTGTTCTTTTTTTCTCTTTTCAGCATGGAATAAACCTTTACTTGTTCCTTTCTTGTTTAAATGCATTAATACCATGTAGATTTTAACACATAATTACAATTTAAATGCATTTTATTAATGGGAATTGATTAATAACTGTTTAAACAGAGAAACAGCTGAAGGTTTCTGAACCAATGTGCAACTATTGGCCTTTTGGTACTTTTGGGGGATGGCTAGACCCAAATCTCATTCACGTCTGCTTGCCTTATATACTGTATAAGTTGCCATCTATACCGTTGCAGGAGACTAGTTCAGTCCTCATAAAAGTGAGGTTTTAGGCAGCGTATCCTCACAGCTAGACACCCATTCCCTCAGCAAGGCCAGCTGTGTCACATACTCTACATATTCGTCTCTCTCTTGCATCCATTAGGATCTTACCAAAGATACCAAAGAAATCTACCAAATGTTTCCGCTTTTCCATACGCTGATGTACTTCTCCATCTTCCTCATTGTCCTTCTTCGCAGGAGGATGCTCTTGAAGAATTTTTCAGAACCTCACAAATGACAGGAGAAGACCAGCTGTACTGCGACAATTGTGAAGACAAAACCGACACAGAAATGGTGTGTTGTCATGGTTAGGATTGTGAACATGGTTTTGGTTTCTACCATGATCCAATATTCTCAGATCGATGCCCAATCCATCATGAACATCAGTATTAACCTGTTACATTGTAACTGCTATGTGAAACCATGAAGATTTACTTCATACCTGATCCCAAGCCTCTGGTCAATTTCAGTCTTATACAGTATGTGTATATTAATATAAACATAGAATGATTTATATGTTAATATTTCTAATCTACACAAAGCGATAGAATTTAGAACTTTGATTTGTTCAATTTCTCTGGACATACAGTATGGGATCTTTCCCTTCTGCCAATGTTAAAAATAAATGTGTTTTACTCAATTTCTAATGTATTTTGGAATATAAGGACCAGTCAATTATTTAACTGATTTTCAATCTTCTTATTTCCAAGAGGGTCTGAAAATGTCGTACCTTTTGTCCAATCAACTCCATTTCTTTTTTTTTATAATTGAGTACCTTCAGCATAATGCAAGTGTTTAAGTGAACAAAATTAATTTAACCACAGAATGGAAAATGGTATACACTCACAGTCTCAGAATCCACATTCGGATGTCCAGCTGTCTGAAAAAATCCCAATCAGCTGAAGAGCTTAACTGGTTACAGTTGGAGTCAAACAAGGCCTGCTTGTCTGAATTCTACATAAGGAAATCTAATCTTATCCAATATTTATCGTTTAATAGACTATAATACACATTATTTTAAAAGTTCATTGTGATTCATACGCTTGATGAAGAGTACTTGATTTGTCACAGACGTTAATATATACAATACTGTATATACTTCAGTTTGCAATATTTGTGGAAAATATTGAGGGACAGGCATTTTCTTTTGTTTAAAAAACATTGTTTCACATTTTACCAAGGGTGGGAATTCATGTTCATGGGAAACGTTTGGTTGAGCCCTTCTTGGGTTTTCAAGGGGCAAATGATTTCATAGAAATTGAGAGAAAACTGGAGGGCATTGAATGCATAATGATTGGTTACCAATACACACATTGCTTGTTTTAATATCAGTTGCGTTTTTGGAAAATAGTCTTAGATGTTTTATGATTTTGATTCTCATTTTGCTTATTTTTTCAGGGTTGCTGTTTAGGAGAAATGCCAGATATTTTAAGTCTACATCTGAAAAGATTTGATTACGACTTCTATCAAGAGAGCTATGTGAAGATAGAGTGTCCAGTGAACATTCCTCTTACGATACAGTTTAAAATGGTAATGTGCATTTAATTTCACAAAATCCAAATTGCTTTAATGAAGATAAGCAGTTGTTGAAAGCCCAATTCAACGTACTTTTGGAATTAGTGCAACAACACATCTAGATATAGTGAATCAAAGAACTACAAAGAAGTTATAATACTGTAGAAATAATGGGGATAATAACGATAATAACAGTTGGTGAAGAGAAAAGAAATTGTTTAGGAAAACATCTAGATAGCAGCATACAATTTGGATCTGGATCGAACCTTTAATGTTTTGGTAGACATGTTTAAAATGTGTTTAGGTTTTAACCTGTCTTGTGAAAGGTGTGACACCTGAACCCCTCAATAAGCTGAGCTAACGGGCTCAAGGGGGGGGTGTCCTCCCTCATGCAACCTCCATTTGCATTTCGTTAGGCATCTGTTGTCAGACCCTTACGGAGGACCTAGAATGTTTCATTCCTCCCGTGACAGAGATTATGCATATTCAATGCTTAAATTCAAGAAGATTCAAAATAAATTGAACTGAATCCCACGGCAAGCAGCTTTGAAACAATTTTGTTTTGCTTCATTTACTTCTTTAATGCATTTCACGGTAATAAACAATCCCAGTACCGTTACTGAGCGGGGACGCCTTCGGATTTGATTCCTTTGACTTTAGGGGTGACATCCTGGCCATACGTATGAAGTTGTCTTCATACTCAGTATGAACTTAATACTCACATTGGACAAGAGGAGCTGCAGCTGGAAGGGGAGTAAAGATGGGATTGCTGAGCAGAGATCTGCGTTGTCTCGTACTTGTGTGGAAGTGGGATAAGGTTGATGAGTAGAATCTAGGGCTTGTTCTCCTCTCAAACTGCATAATTTAGAGCAACAGAACATTATTATCTTCATGGTGTTGCTTCCTACGTTTATTTATTTATCTTCAAAACACTTGTCTTTCAGAAGCCTCAAAAATACGAACTGTATGCTCTTTGCAATCACATAGGAAGTTACAGAGGAGGACATTATGTGGCAAACATTAAATCATTGGATGATGGAAAATGGTACATTTTTGATGACACAGAAGTTAAAGTAAGTGTTATAGTATGTTCCCCTTGTGCTCTTATTCTTTAATATAAGGATGATAATTGACAGGTGTGAATCCTAGTATCTTGGCTGATTTCCACCATGGGCTTATACAACTTTAGGGATGAAATTGGCCTCAGTTCCTCCTGAATTGAACTGGTACAGCAGTTTCTCCCTATATTGTATAAAATGCTCTGGTGTCTTTTATGATGCAAAACGCTATACTGTATAAATCCAATTATTTGTGTCAAATGCTTATTATTTAGTTATATGTAATCACAATGGTCATTCTTTCTTGCTGCATGTGAAAATGTAACTGCACAGATTCATTTTAATACCTATCCATAATTTACTAAATTACAGAAACATATTAATGTCCACCATAGTAATTCAAGATAACAGTGAATTTCACTTTTTGATCTTAATTTCTTTTTCTTTGATTTTTGTGTTTGAAGTTTAAGTCCATGCCTAGTTACCAGGAACCCGAGCAGCACGAGAACGTATGTATATGGAGAAAATGTCATCATACACAAAAAAATAAATAACTAGATTATCTAAAAATAAATTGCATTATTGGATATATAGCAAGACAAATAAAACATGAACTTTAATACAAGGGAATGTAAATTCAACAGTGACATGAGCTAAAAGTGATCTTACAGCAGATCCTCAAGACTAACTCCATGTCAACTATGGTTTCACTAGAAAAAACAACACACAAGAAAAGTTTTTTGAAAATGTTTACTTAGTGTTTTAGTCATATTAAATTTGGCTTAACCTGTTTAGCTGAGGGATACCCCCTGGCCATAGGATGATGAGCTTGGGACCCCCTTGCAGAGTGAGGAGTGACCAAGGGGCAGCTGCAAAGGGAGAGATGGGCTGCACGAGAGATGCAAAAGGCAGAGGAAGAGAAGGGCTTACGTGTAATATTTTTAATTTCTTTACTTGAGGATATGATGTCAGGAATGATTACAAATTAGAACAGCTGAGGCCGATGGGACCTGGCCGTTGTCATCCCTGCCGATCCCGCATTATAAAGACCATTTATCCATTTGACCAAACTACTGAAATGGCAGTTTCAAGCCCTGGTCTCGGCCCTCTGCCTATCTATACAGAAACCTCATGATTCTAATTTATCCAGCCGCACGCTTCATTTTCGCCTCCTTCCCTCCCCTCTTTCCCATGTTTGCCTGTACAGCAGCTTCCAAAGGGGGGGGGGGGGGGTTCTATCGGCATCGTTCTGCTGTTATGATTGGAATCCCTCAGTTGGATCCTGAAAAGCCAAATAAAAAGCTTCCTGATTTAACTACATTGGGTTTGTTTGTATCAACTGAAATTCATTTATGATGTCAAAAACAGTGAAAGCAAAACAAAACCAAGAGCTGCTAGGATTCAATTCCCATTGTACTGAGCTTGCAAGAACAGAAACATTAAATACATATTGTAAGGACAGGAACGAAACATTTCTGGTCCCCCAATAACGACCAGACACGACAGATGTATATTAAATCCCTCTTTATGAAGTTACACATCCCATGCCCCCTACACACAAACAGGATGATGATGTTTAACAAATTGCAGACAGTGGTGTGGAAAAACAACACAGTCAGTTTTAGCAGCGCATCCCCACAGCACTGGCACCCTGGGGGGGGGTATCCGTGTGGACTTTGTATGTTCTCCCTGTGATTGTGTGGGTGTCCTCTGGGTTCTCTGGTTTCCTCCCATAGTCCAAAGACTGCAGATTCAGAATACCGGTAGATAAATTGGCTTCTAAGAAAATTCAACCAGGTGGGAGTATGTCTGTGTCTTTGTCTATGTGTATCCTGCCTTCCACCTGGTTTTTGGGTGGACTCTGGCTCCCCCAAGAGCTTGTATTGGATGGAGAAGTTAAACAACGGATAGACACACTCCCATTCCACTACCACTGAAGCAGTGCCTTAGCTCACCCCACTGGGGTGAGGCTGTGTGTCACACCCTCAGCTGAGCACATTACTCTGTTTGATACAGGGCTTGTCTGAGTGAATGAAAAAAGTTTGATTAAAGAATTAGCACTGAGTTTTCCTCACACTTTTTGCAAAACGGAGTGACTATTTTTCAGTATGTGTTTAACCTCTACTTCCTGGTTTGCTTACAGGACTATCAGATCATTATGAAGACAAGTATACATTACATAAGGTATGCTCAATTTTCTCTCCTTAGGTCTTTTGATTTGACTAAGCTCTTTGTCGGACAAATGTTGAGTATTTGCACAATGTGCAGTTGCAAGAAATAGTTTGTGAACCATTTGGAATTACCTGAATTTCTGCATTACGCATAAAAATGTGGTCTGATCTTATTCATGATATGTTCATGAAATGTTCATGAATCATTAATGTTTGTCATACAGTCTGTTATGCAGAATAGTGTATATATACTAGTGTAGTATAGTATAATATTGTGTATTACTAGTGTATTATAGTGTATACAATATATTATATATATATATAAATCAAATTATTGAGCAGCTGTCATTTTTCAGGTCCCAGGATGCATACTTGCTTTTATACAGAGTTGTGTCTGAAAATGGGGATCATGGTATGTGCAACATCTATCATTATTGTAAAAAGAATGTTTTTTCTCATTGTCTTGTAAGCTCCCATCAGCTGTAACTTCCTGACAGCAACTTAGTAACATCAGTTCACAGACATTTTAAATCACATACACTACTCGCAAATTAATCAGTATGAGGCAAGGAGTAAAACAAGAAAAATAACCGCTCAACGATTGGGAGTTCAAAAATGTAACAAACCTGAAAATGTATGTACCTGTTTGTAATAATCTCCTATTTCATTCCCAGTTATTGTCCAATACCCATTATTATAACAGGTCTAGCTTAATGGAGGTAAAATTGAGTTTTTCAGGGAACATTTCAGGGTATTTAAAACCACACTAACATTGTATCCATATTGGAAGGGCATCAAGTTTAATTGTGAAAACTCCAAATATCCGCCATTCTAATGGGCATTCTTGTTGTTTAGGCAGGTCTTGCATGGATCAGTGCTACACTTAATTGTATGTAACTTTCTATGTTTCTATGTTTTCAACAGTTTCTATGTTTCCTTTAATGCTGCCACAATTCCATTCCAGTTACAGAAATGCTGACAGAGCAGTGGCTACCACTGTTGTCAGAAGTTATTGTCAAAAGCATTGTTTTCTCCAATAAAATAAGGGGCAGGGCATGTTGCCATAAGAATGGGCCCTTGACAGGTGCCATATTATTAATTATATGTAATAAAAAATAATAAGAATTGTTGTTGTTAAATTGTAATGCTGTTTTACATCACACCGGCACAGTAGAGGAGTAAAACAGAAGAGGATGGCAGGACTGCTTGTAAAAAAAAAGTTGAATCCTTTTAAACATCCATATTTTCCAGATGCTACCGACGGTGTTCCCAATCTGCAGACGGGACAGGCAGAGGATTCAGAGAACTGTGTTGGCCAGAGGAGTAATCGTACGGATAAAGCACCGCGTTGTGGAAGGAGGGTAAGTACTGTATACTTTACAAAGTGGACATGGGATGTAATTGAAACAAGGCCTAAATGAAGACATCTTTATGTATTAAAAATAGATGTCTACCCTCTGTGTGTATCATCCCTTTGGCTCATGCTTTAATTTTATATATACTGTACATTTTCCTGGCAGTGGTGCAGCACTAGGGCCCCAGGTTCCATTCCTGGGGTGCTATCTGTTCACATGCTCTCC